CTGGAGCCCATAATAACGGGAATGGTGTGAAGCTGGTTTGCTGTAGAAGGTCTTTTTATGTACTCATTTCTGAGCCTAGCGTTCTGCCAGTAGAGTCTAGAAAGAAGAGAAGGAGGAGTAAATTAGAAGAGCGCGTGGAAGGAAGCTCTCTACAGCAAAACGCCGTAGTCTTTTGGTCCCAAGGAGCAGCTTTCAAAGCATCGATTTGTATGGTATGGATCTTTGTGCGTGTTATTTACTATCTTGCTATTGAATTAAATCTCGTATGTATTTTAAATTTTCTTCTAATAGATGCTCGCAAATAGTGAATTCTTGAGCTTTTATGGCGGAGGATTGTTCAGTTATCTGACGCTGTTAGTTATTCGAACTGACATTCTGGATATACATAGAACTCTATGCTAGTACAAACACAGCCTAGATAGGATCCTAAACAACCACACTCCGCGACCCTCCCAGAGTACCCCGATCTTCCCACGCTCCACTCTCTTGGATAGAGAGTGACTCAAATCCAACGCCATGAGAACCATCAGATCCACTCAACTTTGCCTGTTTCTTTCTCTCTTTCTTCTCCCTCCTGAGACGCTTCTTTTCCTTGCGACTGATGCGTGGAAATTCCGAATCCGGTCCCCGCAGAACCATACCAGGGTGGATCAGATTGAGTGCAACCAACGCAAGTAGCATAGGGACCGCATCAAAGACATATTCGTAGAACTCATGCGTCAAAACCGGGTTATTCGGATCGGTGCCACGGCTGAACTGACAGAGACGGAAGATGATCCGGACCTAGACGATGGTGAGTGATTTCACAATTCATAGCGGCACGAATAAAGCCTAGACGTACGGTAATCATGACCAGGCCAAAATATATTGCGTAGAAGAGCCATCTCCACGGCCGGGAGCTTCCATCCGCCTTCCCCAGTTCAAATCCACGGGTTTGTTCGAGGACGTGCAGTTGGCGGTGCAGACGGATGCAAAGAACGGTGAAAACGATGATGAATAGCTGCTGCAGGCCAATACCACCCATGTAAATATGCACACCGATCATGACAATCCGCGTGGATACGTCGGTGGGCGAGCTGATGATAGCGCCCGCTGCCTGGACGATAAAGGAAACGACATCTAGCCAAATGAAGATCACGCCATATTTTGTGGCAGAGATGCCAGCCAGTCGCCGATCCGGTAAGAAGAAATAGACCAGCCGGCCGAGAGTCATGTATATGAATGCGTTGATCCCTGCGATCTGTTAGTGGATGGGTAGTTCCCTAACACCTATCGCTCAGAGTCCTTACATAGAGGAGCCAGGTAGAACAGGAGGTTGAAGGCGGTATTGTAACCATCGCTGCTCTGGTTCCGTGTAAGGAGCGCACGGAACACAAATGCGAGACACTCCCAGCCCGCGCCCATCATGATAACCCAGGAATATCTCTGTCGGCGGTAAGTAATTGGATATTAATGTCCGGAACGGGAGGAGTACTTTTCTATATATGAAAGCCTGAACTCCGAATGCAATGAGCGTAAGGCCGAACAGGACGGTGAATAGAATGGCGGCGCCAAGCGACGGAACATAGTAGAGAATCACGTCGCACGCATCTGGTGGAAGGTATCCGTTCTTCCCGGGCTTTGGGTGAGTACATGTTGCCGTTGGGGCAGGCAACGCCGTCGTGGTCGTGGACATTGATTTAGACGTGAAGAGATTAGAAATGAATGCTTGTCTGATGCAGAGAATACATAATGCTACATGAAATGCTCGTCGCACCACCCAGATACTTATATCCTATTCCATGATACTGTGTCCAGGCAGAAAGATACAGAAGTGCTTATAGGGCTGCGAGAGCTATTCATAGCTCTGTATATGTGCGCCACGATGGGCTAGAACGCTAGAACACACGTCTAGTAATGTTCTCCTTCGAGAAGAGCAATACACCTATGGTTAGTGCATCCGAAATCCCCAGTGATCGTAGTACCTGGGCGAGAAAGATAGATGCCTGAAAGCAGTAACTCAGCATCAGAGTCACCTTTCAGTAGGCTTCTATCAAAAGTACTGACAGGGGAAGACGTGATTGGTCTGATCGGTAATGCTAACTTGATCAAGCATGTTGTGAATCCTCCGATGGGGCGCAGTCCTCAACCAACTAGACCAGATACGTCCAGTTCAAGCTTATGCTTATCTCAGATGGTCTAGGCTGACACAAGGTTATTGTTAGCATCTTCCTTCAAGATTTCATCCATCTCAAATAAATTCATCCTTCGCGCCTCCCGCACCATCACCGTCATTCAATCGTTGGGGATAGAGCGCGAGAATATGCTTCCAAAAACACACAGATCCAGAGGTGGCTGCATGACCTGCAAGTGAGCTATGCAAATCAATCCCCCACACCGATCTAGCTCAACTTATACGTTGTCTATTAGGATTCGCCGAGTGAAATGCGACGAAGAGAAGCCAACCTGTTATAGATGTCGATCTACTGGCAGACGATGCGACGGTTATCAGCCTGGCCCGATACCAAATTCCAATCCTAGAAATGTCAAGATCATCCAATACGTCCCCAGCATCCCCCGCCAGACCCAACGACTACCACACCCATATTTCAGTGACCTCACCACCGAGCAGGAATGGCGCTCGTGGGAGTTCTTCTACCTTCAGACAGCATCCTGTTTTGGTCACAAGGCCGGCGATTTCCTCCTCAGTGTGGCCACCATAGATCCTCTGATTCGAACTGCCGCTTTGGCGCTGGGGTCTTTGCACCGAATGTTCCTCTACGAGGGGGACCACAACGGGGCAGATACATCGGCAGGGAGGCAGACGGCACTGCGACAATACAATATGGCGGTGCGAAGAGGGCTGCATAAGCTCTCTCAGTCTTCTGCAGACTCGATCGACACAATACTAGTCATGTGTGCTCTGTTCTATTGCGCTGAGTGTCTGCAGGGGTACTACCAGGCCGCGTTACTCCATGTCGCATCCGGTGTGAGAATCCTACGGCATCAAGAGCAGCTCAGACTAGGCTGCAGCGGTTATTCATATCGCCCACGTGAAGAGATTCAATATATTCTGGCAGTAATGGAAAATCAACTGCTGGAGGTTGGTGGGGAACTGTCCTTACCGGATAGCATAAAGCTGTACACATCGACCTGTCTACATGTCCCATTCGAGGATCCCTCCCAAACCATGTCTACCCTCGAAGAACTCGGCGATGCCTTTAAGATACTCTACAACAAATTCCTGCATGTGCTCTCCAGTGCAGAGACTTCCGCAAAGGACGCCTCCGAAGAGGTGCAGGCGCAATTGGAGGCGCAGTACATGGATGTCCTGGAGAGGATGAGTCGATTTTCGACGGCCTTTGACCGCTTCCTTGCGACAAACCCACAGCACCAAATGGACGAGAATGCGCACATGTATATGATAACACTTCAGGTGTGGCGAAACACCGTGGGGGTGGTTCTGAACGCCGGATGGCCTCCATGCGACTCAGCATGGGACAAGCATACCGCCGATTACGCGGTGATTTGTTCACTGGCAGAGGAGATGATGAGCAAGAGCACTCTGGCACTCCCCGGACCGGCACATCCAATAAGTATTACCGGCAACAAAGGTAAAAAGCAGCCATCCGCGGGACACAGCGGCCGTGATACGACCAGACCTATCTATACTTGCATCCTTCCCAAGCCGCAACCCCCTCGCTCACCGTCATTCTTCTCGCTCTCTCTTGGCGTCCTGCCGGTGCTGTGGATTGTAGCAGTCAGCTGTCGGGACTCCAAAACACGCTACCGTGCCATACACCTGATGGCTCGCTGTAAGCGACAGGAAGGGATCTGGGATTCGCGCCTGTATGCACAGGTGGCCGCCAGGGTGGCGCGACTGGAGGAACAGGTAGCTGGTATACCTGAAGGTGCTGACTACGAGCCAAGCGACGTCCCTATGAGTGCCCGAGTGTCGACTGTTGTAGGTCTATTCGAGGAGGGGAGGAGAGGAAAGGTACAGTTTCTCTGGCATAACCATGAGAAACTTGAAGAATCGGTAGTTTGGTAATTGGAAGATAGCTAACTTAGATGACTGTTGTGTTTTCTATAGATTATATAAATATATCAGCTATTCTACTTCACTGATCGGTCTGGAACGAAGGCGCCAAGCAATTCAAGCAATTACCTCTTGGTACACCTCGTATTCCTTCAGGCCTTTCCTTTTTGAGGAACTTTAGGAATCTTCTTGGATCCATTTCGATATTGAGGTATTTATTCAGTCTTCCCTTCTCTCGTGGTGATATACAAACAACTGCACTTGGTGTATCTGACAATGGGTGCATGGTGCTATACAGACTACCCAGGTAGACTTTCCCCTTCTGGAATGACAATATCAACACCATGCCCCTATTCCCAGCCTAATGTGACCAATTCACTATATTACGACTATTAATGTTACAGCACAACCGCCCAGCCCGCGTCCTTTGCTTATTCCCGCCCAATACGAGCCCCAATCATCCTGATGGGACCCGTCTGGACCCTGACCCATTGATCCTGTCAAAGCTTTCTATGGGGGACCAAATTTCGCATCAACCTTTCTGAGTTTGAATACGAGGGTTTCAGCTGGGTCTGTCTTCGGCCTGTTGATCGCTGCCTTCGATGGGTAGTGAGTTGGCTCGACATGTCTCGAAATAGGCACACAATCATGCTAGGCCTCCTTTTCATTGAGTGATATTTAAGCGTCCATTCTGCCATGAGCTCATATTCAGCCCCTTTTGAGTCCCATTCCATTCCTTTGATTCTCCAGATATCCCATTCATCGAATTTCTTGTAATCGGCCACCTTGCGTTCCCACTCCTTCAGCAACACCACCTTCGAAATGCAGTACAAGAGCCTTTCCTTCCTACTTTTGGCCGCCACGGCCGTGGCTGACCTGGACAGCCTGTAAGTGCCAGCATCCTTCCCTCTCCTATACCAGCCAAGCCTGTAGATTCACTAATTCGGCTCATAGTGCCACTCAGACCGACCTCGCGGACCTGACCTCTCTCGCGGGCCTGACTTCTGGACTCACCGTTCCTACCATGAACATTCCCACTCCTCCTCCTTCCATCGTCTCGGTGCTCGTGACCGCCGTCCCACCCTCGTTCTACTCGTCTTTGGAAGATCCCGCCTCCCGGTCTGCGTTGTTCCACTCCATCCAGGACGGTGACTACCCGCAGTGGTACAAGGACCTTCCCGGCAGCGTCAAGTCCTGGCTCTCCACCGCCTATGCTACCGGTGCTGCTGCCACCGCTGCCCATGCTGATGCCACCACTACCGGCGGCTCGTCTTCGCCCACTGGCAGCTCTGGCTCTGGCTCTGGCTCTGGCTCTGGTGCTGCGGGCTCTTCCACCTCTGAGGGTCTGGCGGCCCCTACCGGTGCTGTGGCTATGAGTCTGATGGGAGCTGCTGGTGTTCTTGGCCTTGCTATTGCTCTGTAGTCTTGCTAAAGCTGAGGCATGATGAACAATCGTTGATACTGGAGGGCATACTTGAACTTTCATGCATCTATTCTGGGCCTAGGGTTATATATGTTAATATATTTTGAAGACTCAAAGCAGTAATGTGTTAGTATGTACACTCGTTCTTACTAACTTAATGAGTTGTCCTATCAAGGGAGACTCTGGTTATACCTCCTCACCATTGAACATATAGAAGACAAATAAAATGATGTGCCCGGAAAACATGTCGGTGTTACTCTTCTGGGAGACTGGAGGGGAGGAAGACACAGTGCTGCGAATATATTACGTGACTAGAGAGTTGACTGCCTCTGCACTCCCGTCACCTGGTCCAGACTCCAACGCGTAGGGCGATAGAGGAGGTAGTCCCTGCGCCTCACAGAACAGGACGGCCCGTCATTCAGGATGCGAGATCCCGACGTTCTTGAAGAGGTAGGAACGCACTCCGAACATCAGAAAAGCACATCGTCTGCAGTCATGCCGTTTATTGACCATGACAGCGGATGTTTGCTCTTTCATTAACCATCCAGAACCAAAGATCAACCAGCACCGCCTCGTGGGAGTCGTTTACCCCAGTACGATCTCCTACACGTGCCAGGCATACGCACGGATGAAGTATATAAAGTCATGACCAGACCCGGCTTTTCGGGAGCGTCAGTCCGATTTACGAGTCCGTGTTGGAGGCTGTTTTAGCCATGTCCTATAATGAATAAACACATTATTGGTTGTTTCTGTGGCGCCATCACTGTGTTCTTTGCGGGAGAGCCCTCAGTGCAAGAGCCATATCTATATGGGAGCTTGGGAGTTTTGCTGTAGTGCACCGGAGCGGTGTTACAAGCCTCTGCCTTTGGGTACCACAGATGATAGTGGTGACTGCTTCTGGATTGTTTCCTCCGACCTTGAGAGTACGGGGAATGTCTCCTGCGAGGGAGATAAAGAAGTGAAAGCAAAGTGGAGGATTTGCTACCCACGACAAAAGGGTGAGTGGGCCCCTATGATCATAATGAAGCCATCGGGATATGCAAATCACCATGGATCGTCGATTCGATCGACATTCAAAACCCCTACGGCAGAGGAGGGATGAACCAGACACGGAGCTCGGGGATAACAGCACAGACAGCTCGGAGTAACCTTGTTTGAACCATCCCACCATTCACAACGCCGCTGATGGTCAGCATTCCCGAGGGAGCGCCAATCAAGGCGACGAGAGAGGCCGGACACAGATGGCGGTCGAATTCGGAGACCGAAGGAGGAACAAGGAGGAACAGAGTCTTTCGTCGCTGACCATTACCGCAATGCTGATTGGCTCGACGACGGGTCGACGAAAGAATGCAGCACAGCGTGTTGACGCAGTGGAAAAGACTCTCTCCCATATAAATGAGGACGACTCCGTTGTCCATGAACACACTAGAAAATCGTCAACATCTTCAATCGCCGTCTTTTCTTGTACTGTTCGCCGAAAAGTGCTGATTCGGCCTGATTATCGCCAGCAGACGGAAAAGTCTAGATTGGGCCATTGCCACTCCTGACGTCACCGTCCGTTTGCTTACTTTCTTCCCTATCTGGAGCTCTCCGTGATCTCCAGGTCGCCGCTCGTCTTCATCACCCCATAGAACATGGCTCTGTTGTTCATAAAGCAGAAGTTCTTTCCTGATAAGAAGAAGAACCCATCCCTCAATGATTATAGTTCGTCTCCCCACCTTCCACACTAATATACCACACTAATGCCCATTCAAGGAAAACCATTGCTCGCGCAAGATGAAGCCAGTCGATTCCCTGAAGACCGTGACCATGACACGGAAGAAGACCTCGAAGCCCAACGCTCCTACCGGACCTTTCGTCCCTCCTCGCCCGTCTCAGAATCCTCCAGCACCAGCACCACCCGATCCCGCATTAACCCTCGCATCGTCTCCGATGCCATTCTCGGCCTATCTGACGGCCTCACTGTTCCCTTCGCGCTGAGTGCCGGTCTCTCGGCACTGGGAAACACCAAGGTCGTCGTGCTCGGCGGCCTCGCCGAACTCACGGCCGGCGCCATCTCCATGGGCCTCGGCGGTTACGTTGGAGCGAAGAGTGAAGCGTGAGTGACCTTCCCGACTGCAGACTCGCGCGGTGGCAACAACCGAGACTGACCCCCCTCGCAGCGAATCCTACGAAACAACGGTGCGAGAGGCCACGGAACTGGTCGACTCCTCGCCCAGTGAAACCGCCGCCATCATCCACGACATCTTCTCCGACCACGGCATCCCCGAGGACGCCATCGCGCAGATCAACTCCTCCCTGCACGCCTCCAGAGACCGTCTCCTCGACTTCCTCATCACCTTCCACCACAAAGAAGCGCAGCCGGACTGCAACCAGGCCTGGATCTCCGCCATCACCCTCGCCCTGGGGTACTTTGTCGGCGGCTTCATCCCTCTGATCCCGTACTTCATCGTCGACCGCGTCATCCTGGCGCTCTACTACAGCATTGCCGTGATGGGCGTCACACTACTGGCGTTCGGCTACATCAAGACGTGTGTGGTGCGCGGCTGGACCGGCCGGGAAAACATCCGCGCAGGCATCAAGGGCGGAGTGCAGATGTGTTTCGTCGGCGGCGTTGCGGCGGGGGCGGCCATTGCATTGGTCCGACTCATTGGCGACGGCTCATAGGCCTTGTTTCTGATTTCCTCATGATTCATGTACAATATACCAGGCATAAAAGCGCGGCGTTAGATATGGTTTCACGGGACTCACAATCACAATCACAATCCGAGACCCTTCCATACCATAGCAGACAAAAACACACCCGTAAACACCCAACCTATACAACAAACCCACCCTCCACACCTCCATATCTCCATCCTACCCCTGCAGTGCCTTCTCAACCAACCCCCTCGCCCGCTCCGACATCTCAATGCCCAACGCCAACTCCCTCCCGGGCTCCGACATCTTCGCCCACGTCTTGCGCAGAATACCCAACACCTTCTCCTCCTCGTACTGCTTCTCCGCCTCGAAGCCCTCGAACTGATCATCCAAAAACACCAAACACGCCACATCCTCCAGCACCTGCGTCTCGGGGTCACTGCCGCCGCGCAGGCCCTCCTTGCGCACCAGCGCGCCGACGCGCCCCGCCTCCGCCGCCGTGTACCCAGCCGCGACGCACATGCCCTCGACCAGCTCGGCCTGGCGCTTCTGCAGATGTGCCCGCCACGCGTGGTAGCCCGCCTTGGTGGCCGGGAAGCTGGCGCGCGGCACCTCCCAGCGGCGGAGGTGCTGGGCGCGGATGGCCAGACGCAGCAGCTCCGAGGCCGCCGGGTCGCGCTGCGTCAGGTACTTGGTCATCTTGTTGGCATAGTGGAGCTCGTAGGGCACCGGCGTGGTGGAGGAGGGCGGGGTAATCGTGTTGGGGTCTTCGGCGTGGGCGGCGTCGATTAGTTGGAGGGCTTTGGTGAATTTGTCCATTTTGCGGCTTGTTTGCTGGTTGTAATGATGCTGCGACGGTGGGTTCTCTGATAATGGGCGTTTGAGGTTAATTGGAGTGTTGAGCTGGGGGAAGGACGGTGGTGATCGTAAATATCTGGCTGGCGACTGGTCCCGCTGATATCGGTGCCCCACGCATATCTATCGTCCCTACACTGCCCTGTGCCTTCCAGAGTAAATAAGGTATCTATCGAACAGCATAATTTCAGATTCTACAGTCAACCGATAGGTATCATCCTATTCATCTAATCAGTGGTAATATATCACAGCATGATCTGTCATGCCTTCCTGTACTGCGTCTGCGCAGCCTCCCGGCTGGAAAAGAGAATACACATCCCGTCGTCGCCATAACAAACCCAAGCAAATCAATGAAAATACAAAAACACGAGGCGAACAGCGCAAACATTACAATGATGAAGAGACCTGCCTTTCCAGGCATTCAATGAAACCCGTCCAGCTGGTTGTTGCTCCTCCAAACGCCGTCCAATCGATGTAAAAGCCGGGTATATCCAGCACCGCGATGCAACATGAAAAAAATGTACGGAGAATAACAGATGGGCGAGGAAAATAACCACCAGAGTGAGCAGATGATCGATGATCGCCACCGCCTAGACTGCCGGTCTCCGGGCTAGCCTCTTTTTTTTTTTGAAACCAGAAACCCTATGCACGAAAAGATCCGGGGGAAAGAAGAAGAAATCACGAAAGAAAGGCCACTGGCTTAGCCCTTCACAACTTTCGCTGCTCACCTCGCCCCAATCCCATACATACCCACCCCGTAGCTTCCGCCTCTATCGGGCAGAGGAGTCGATATCTTTGACACGTGATCCTTCAAATCCAAGTCGTCAGTAAGGGAAAGACAGAACAACGTTTGTCCCGACTATCACCCTACCTTCTTTCGCTTTTTCTTGCCAATTCCTTCACCGTTAGAGTAGAATGCACCGTCATCATCGTCGTCTGCATAGCCTTCGCCGTATCCGACGAAACTGTTGTCATCATAATGTCGCTTGCGGCCTCGGCTGGGTCGCGTCCGCTCGGCGTCCGTGGCGCCGGGCGTTCCATTCGGAGGGCCAGGAATCCGAGCACCGTTGGGTGCCGCAGCAGGCTTTTTACTGCCCTCGCCGCTACCCGCATGCTTCGATGGCTTCTCGTGTCCCAGGACATCTTCCCAATAGTCGTTGTTCGGCACCATTCCTGGTTCCATCTTCATGGCTTTCAACTGAAGGTTATACAAGGTCGAGTCAATATCAGCAGCCTTGATATCCTTCCCATACACCTTCTGGTTTTGCCATTCTTCCTCGGGCCACATCGTCATGTGTCGTAGGCCGCCAGACTTGTTAGGATCGTTCTTCACGGGCTTGTTTCTACCCGCGAGCCCCAGGCCTTTCAATTTGCCTTCGTACGACTTCCTGAGTCGGTTAATCTTTTCGCCCGTCACTGGGTCCATTCTTGCGACGGATTTCGCCACCGGGACCGAGCCCGTAAAGCGAGACCAGATCTAAAGCTGGGTCTGGACCAGTTGCAGTGTAGGCTGTAAGTTGTAGAGCACAGCGTTAACAAATCTTAACTCCAGAAGACATGGGAACAAAGTGCATTGGTGGATGACAATGGCCGCGGCCAGAGGAATTAGCCTTGGGAAGCTCTTACAGTTTTTGCAAAGATGGAAAGGAGAGGAAAACTCCTTCTGCAAAGAATCTAGGCTCGACTGGTGTTGGGACGTAGTCGCCGTGTCCTGATCGATATCCATGGCGCCGTCATATGCCGCTGCTTTGGCGACGCTGGTTCCTGTGTCCGTGTCCAATCCTCCCAACGGCCGGTCATGGTTCGTCGGCCTGTGCTCGACCTGACGCAACGATGGATCTGTCGGCGCCATAGATGTTGCGCCTGCATCAGACCCCAGGGGTTTGTTATCTGTGCTCTCGGTATCATCCATGGAGGTTGCGCCGGCAACATGACCGGTCACGCTGCTGGCGGGCGTGGGGAACGAAGCCGTCATACCTACTGCCGGCTGCTGTGACGCCTGTGCGGACATTGGGGCGGAGGATGGAGGGGATGAAAGGTTCGCAGGTTGTGATGTCGCCTGGCTGGAGGATGTCTGCGAGGATGCGAAGTTGGAGGCATAGTTCTGAGCGCTGACCGACATCAACGGAGGCGATGTCGGCGTTTGCGGCGTCGGTTCGGAGGAGGCGAAAGAAGAGTGGGTTTCCTTTAACAACCCAGCGGCGGGAGATGACGGTGATGGAGGCCCTGCTCGGAGTGACGCCGAGGAGGTGCGATCAGACATGGGAGTCTCAAGGCAAGGGTCAGGGGAGGGTGATGGCGGAAGCCCGATATCCAGAGCCCTCTAGATCTGTGACGGCGAATCTATCACAGAGACGGTCGACGCAGGACGGCAGACCAGGAAGAGAACTAGGCTGGCAGATGGGGTGGGCTGAGATCACGCCGGGGTCGAGGGTCGCTCAGGCGGCGAGCAGGACGTTCGACGACCGTATCAGAAGTCACACATTCCAATGAGCCGTTTCTGAGTACCACCCGGGAGGTGAATAGCGGACGGTTCGATAAAGCGAATCAAAAGAGCGGACGGTGAGGGCCAGTTGGGGGGGTGGGAGGTGGTTGGCAAGAGAGTGATGGATGGATGCCCTTTGGTCCGCACTGGAGGAGAACGGATGGAGATGTTGGATGACGGCAAGAGGGCCGGCACGTGATCAGACGCGGGTAATTTTACAGCGCGTATTGTTCTTACCGGCCAGTACGACAAAGAGTTGTTTGTGAGACAGTCCCTGCCTGTTTGGGCACTCTGCAAAGAGCTTCTATTTCCGGCACAGTAGGCTATCTGGAGATTCATAGCTTCATTGTTCTCTTCATTCTAACTCGTCTGCACTTCGATCACCAAATATTAGATGACGTCGGGTGCTTTGTCAAAGTTAGCCATACCTGATTGGCACAAATAGGGTTATTATCTCCATCTAGACAGTGACTTTCCCGGGCAGTCGCCACTACCAGATCCCATGGTTACTCTCCCTCAGGATGAGCCCTTTTTCGTATTTCCCTTCGTGGACTATGAACATCGCGTCTTTAATAGGCGAATCACCGACATACGGTAGTAATGAAACAGCCCCTACCCTTGAACTCCAAGCAGACATTCCTCGTAACTTTCGCTGGGGCCAAAGCTCCAAGGGGGTATATGTACAAACCAAAACAAGTTAACCACTGACACCGCAGCAAACGCCTCATGCCATATCATGACTGGTAGAATGTTTCTGATTCCCGCACAAGCTGCGCCGATACATCTGGAAGGTTGTCTTCGAGGGTTTCCATCAACTCCATCTGTTCTTGCTGGCTCAGTGTTCTTCCACGCTCTGGAGGTATTGGAAATGCTTCGTTGAAGTACTGGGAATATTGATCGCTCATGATATCCATCCAACTCACGGGATCGGCCGTCGCATCCACATACGCCAAATGGCCAGCAGTTGTGGATGCTAGGGTGAAGTTCGGATCCCACCCGGGTAACCCTGGCACTACCGAAGGGAATGGATTGTTGTAAGGAGCGGCGGAGTTTATCGGATCGTCGCGAGGAACAGGGGCGTTGTGCGTTTGAGTAGCGAATGGGGTCGGTGTAGTATTCAAGGAGGCGGGTTTGGACGATTGTGACCGAGGGTCCCAGGCGGAATACTGGACAGTTTTGTGTGACTCAGATGACGGGGACGAGAGCGTAAAAGAGGCGTGCGGGTCCACAGAGGGTCCCCTTGAATATGTTCCAGAGGACAGGCTCTCGGTAATCGACGCGTTTCCGGCTCGCACAATCTGTGACTGAGATGACGTCGTAGTACTGGCGGGACTAGACATGGAGGGCGGTGTCGTCACGTCCTGGGAGGAGGCTGGGCTCGGGTGATTGGAGGGAGACTGAACGACAAATGATTCCTCGGTATTGTATGCTTTAAGACAGGCAGTGACAAGCTGTCGGTAGAGGAGCAAAGCAGATTGGACTCCTGGCCACCTCTCCGCAGCACGTCCGATAGCCTTCAGAGCAAGGCTAAGGTGGCCTTGGACCTCCGAGATGGGATGCTCCTTTCGAACATCGGGATATGAAAGGGACCAGAGAATGGTGTTCAGGGCCATGAACAGCGACTGAGTGAATATCCAAGTCAAATCAACTAATTTTTCGTCAATCTGCCGATAATGCATGGCGACATTGAAAACAGATGCCTCGTAGCATTTTCTAGCGGCGTTAACGGAGGGCTCTGGCACCTGAGGAGAGGGTCGAAATAGAAAGACCACCATGGTATTTCGTCTGCCCTGGAACCTACAAATATTTCTTAGCAGCCATAGCCAAGGTGCGTCTGAAATGAAAGTCCTTACCAATACTCACTTAAGCCACTGTCGTGCGCTTTCTTGGGACAGGACGCCACCCAATGATCAAGCTTATCAAGCATCTGCTGGAACCATGGGTCTTGGTCATCAACAGGCGTGTCGCGTTTATTGAGATAGAGTGTCCGTCTGATCTCAAGCTGTAGTAGTCGCATTTTCAAAAAAGTGGACTGCGAGGCACTTTCGTAGGATCGGTTTCCCTCCAGGGATGATCCCGTTCGGGGTAATGTACTTGTCGTCCACCAGCTCGAAGAATTTGACGCGGACATGGTCATGAGAGACAGAATAACAGCTAGGCCGCCCAAGGCTATGGGACAGGCCTAGCTCCATCGAGGTAACAATCCAAAAGAGTCGCCTCCGCATATCGACCTCCAAGGGATCCAAGTCCTCTCCATTAGGACCTTTTGTAATGGTCCTTTCTTCGGTAAGGCCGAGATCTTGACACAACTTGCTGGCCATTCCAACCACCCAGTACGCAGCGGTCCTCGTAGGTGTCAACATAGAGTACTGCCCGATGAGGACTAGGCACTGCAAAGATTTCAAATCCATTCGCCGAAGAGTCGGCTCCAAATATGTTAACGCCGCAAGGTAATGTCCGTCGGCCAATACTGCGTAGTACGGGTCCATTTTTTGCATACTGATGGCGATCACCATGCGTAGCTGGAAGTTTTCAGATGGGTCCTCAGAGCCATTGAAAACGTTCTCAACTTCTTGGCGGAAAGTCGGCTCATGCAATGTCGGGAGCATTGCCTGCACTACATAGGATGGGTCAATCAAACGCACCGACGATTAGGGTGGGCAAAGCTAACCCTTAACCATAAAGATATCCACGAGCTTCGCAGTGGTAGGCTTGGGTGGCAGTTCATGCTGAAGATTGGGGCTGAATATCGGATAAACCTTCGATGTTGGTTTGGAGCTTTCCAGTTCAAATGCTTGCTTGATTTCTTGAGCCGTGAGCTCGGGCACGACGTCTTTGATGCTCTTTGAGTCTGTATTTTGCTTGGCCATCTCCATCACTAGGCGGGTAATTGCGATGCCACTGGATGCGCCCAGGAACCTCGCCTCGTCGTTTTCCTTAAATCGTATGCGACCCGGACCACGGACCATGAGTTCCGCGTCTGCAGCGTGTTGGAAATCTTTCTCGACATCTTCGAGCTCTTTCTCCAGTCGGCGGGCTTTCTCGCGCAAGGAAACAATGTATGACCGGGGTATAGTGCACTTTCGGGCCGAATCAAAGTATACACACTTGGCATTGCTGCGTTCACAGGGGGTGCATTTTGGAATACCGGGATCGCACCTAGACTTGCGCTATGGCAACATTTAGCCCAAACGCTCGGATACAGTGGCGTAAAGTACACGGAATCAACAGGCGGGGGAAGAAGAAGAAGAAGAAGAAGAAAAAGAATAACGCGGTGAGAAAACGAAGGATGCAGGAACATACCTGTCTGCATCTGGTGCAAGCGGTCAAGGTATGCGCGATTCGGCCATCAGGGATGGGTTCCGGTTCTGGAGGGGTTTGGGGGGAGGGGTTGTTCCACGAGTTAGTGAAATGTGGCCGGTTGACCTCTGAGGTTGGCTGAGTTGCCATTGCCCCTATCATTCGAGGTGAATAATGGCCAGTGGTTATTTGAAGCAAGGGGAGCTGTCCGCGATGATCTGCTTAATGCGATGGCACTGTTCCGGAGTCTTCGGCTCGTTTCCTTCTCCTTTTGAATCGATTCTGTAGAAGGAATGGCGCACACACTTGTCGGGTAATGGAAGAAGATCTATCGAATTCGACATATTCAAGCTCGAGATCTGTTCTAACGAGGCCTGACGGCAGGGAGGCGTAGGCGATAGTAGCAATAGCACCTGAAAGGGAGCATGAGGCTAGGATAAGCCAAACGGAATCAGACTTGCATCAGTAGGGAGAAGAGGAGTCGACGATGGATGTCAGGGAGTATGTTCAGTCAAGAAAAGTCCTATCCTGCTCCGCATGCAGATCGACAAACTATCACGTTGTTGGTGGGAGCTCGGATAAAAGAGGAGGGGAATGAGAGGGTGTAGTAGGAGGTAGTAATAATAGTGGTGGGCAAGAGAGGACCGCGCGAATCTTGGGAGACCTCGGTCTAGTCCCACTTTGGATCGACAAGCGCAAACGCGCCGAAGAACAGAGCGATCGGAGGAGTCACTCAGATACGACCTACTACTAGGTCACTAAATAACAGTAGGTAAGGGGGCGGTTTGTGAGGGACGAACCGGGGTTACGGGACGCCACAGAGACCGTTGAGGAACACAAAACCCTGAAATTTTGGGTAAAAGGGAGCGATGATCACCCGTTGAACCGACCATGGATGAAGGATCGGGCGGAGAGTACGAGACGAGAAAGAACCCTGTCAGATCCAGGAAGTATTTGAAGATAAACGGATATGAAGTGCATAGAGGCCTCTTATGCGACCATTCTCTGTATATACTCAGGCACTTCTACTTTCTAGGTAAGGTATACGGAGTGTACGTTGGTACTTTCAAGGTACTTCTTGGCTACCTACTAGGTAGGTAAGCAGGTATCCAACGGTTTCGGATTCTTGGCATGTATCAGGTAGTATGTAAGGTATCCCTGGATCACATGTCAGATACACCAACGGATGCCCCATGATTCGGGGAAATCAAAGCATTTACTGTCTGTGCACACCCCCCTCTTCTTCCAAACCCACTGGATCCTACCCTGTGTACCTGACACAGTCTCCTCAAATAGTGAGAGTGAAACGAAGTGTTGAATTATTTGACATCCATCCATGTTTGGGAGGAGTGGGGTAAGTGATTACCTAAGACAGAAAGTAACCGTATTCAGTGGGGTCACGAGTATCTCGAACTTTACCGTACTTTACCTACCAAGATATTCCAGTAACTTAATCAAACCATCATCATCACCACCCAGCAGACCTCACTGGGCGTCTTGCCCTTCCACCTTTCCCATACGCTTTCGTTCAGCCACTTCTGTTGGCTTCTTGTCGTTTGGGTCATCGAATCACCCTAGGAATTTGGAAGTTATTGCTCACTTCCGTCCAACAATATTCTTGCCCCTCGAACCTTAAAGAGGGGAGACATCTTCGCCAGTTCCATCGGTCTTGGCTTAGGCCCTGCATCGTGCTGGTATTTCGTCGATTATTTGTGCGCATAAGGATTAGCTTGATCCCGGTCACCGGATCGGGAGATTTAACAAGTTGAGGGTATGAACTCTCATCCGCTTACTTGCTGATACTCTTCCTATATACTCCTCAAGACCTCAATCGGCATCTAATCCAGCTGTATTCAAGCAGGGCAAAGAAGCGACTCGCTTGGTTGAATGACCGTGGTCTCTCACAGAACCCGTCGCTTGTCTCCCCTCCTCTCAATAAACCTGCTGGTGTTTCAGTTTGGCCGAAGACTTTGTGCGCAATTTGCTTGACGGTGAGTGTTCCACATCATGAGTACAGGAGATCGACAGAAGCTTAACAACAGAAAGTAGAACATCGCGTAGGACCGAAACCTTCCATTATTTCATGCCCGTTTCCTGGCAGCGTTGATTGGCCGGTGGCAAAGTTCCCTGCACATACGCATCGTTTATAGGTGCCTAGTTGGGTTCCTCAGCTATCACCTAACCTACCTATATACCTTCCCACACATCCGCGCCGCGGTATTGTGTCAGCAGAGGTAATCGGCTCTATCTGAGTTAGGGGATCCCACTTTATCCACCTATCTTGACCAACCAGGTAAGCCATAACTGCGTCCATCCACGCGCAGGGAGTCCAGCCAAAGGTGGCGCAAAAGGCAGAATTACAACATCATCTTGATACCGTACTTCTCTCGAATGGATACTCTGGAATATCAAATTGAGACAGTTAGCCTTGTCTGTCAATCTCCAACAATGCTGACGATGTATACAGGTAGTATGCACCTTGAACATGGCGAGTAGCTCTTTCTTGGACAAGCCGCTGCTTAAAGTTAGTCGCCCAGTGGCTGCATGCTCAAGATGTCGGACGGCGAAGATCAAGTGTGACGGGAAACTTCCTGCTTGTTCGGCATGCGAGAGAGTAGGAAAGGCGAATACCTGCTCTGGGGCTAGCGATGAGTTTGCCCGGGGCAAGGAAAGGAGCTACGTTTCCTCCCTTGAAAGCTATTGCGAGAGACTTGAGAAAAGAATCGCAGACCTTCGCCGCCGTAAAGAATCATTAGCGGTTGACGGAGCCGGGTTTGTTCGGGAGAGTTCAATAACATCAAACTCCTCGGACACAGTCTCACATGCCCATCGCAAGGAGGTTTCTGACATTGATGACCTCGTGGGAGACTTTGGTTTCCTGTCAGTGCTCATTTGCTCTCTTACCCACCAAGGACATCCACTGACGGCTTCCAGGTCTGTTAATGCCACCTCCCGAGACTTTCATGGAATTTCATCTAGCGCGTCGTTTGCAAATCTTCTCCTATCCCTCTCCGTCGCAGAACCAATACCAGACCTACCATCGTCCTCGTCCCTTCCAACTCGTCACGAAATTGCACCTCTTCTGCAGCACTACTTTGAGAGATTCTATCCGCAACTGCCGTTCTTCAATGAAACGAGTTTTTGGGCCTCCGTGGACAGCGTCTATCAAAGTGGTGGCCGGTTCGCCAAGCCGATTGATCACTGGTTCCTGCGCATGGTATTAGCTATCTCGTGTGCTTCAACGTATTATCGCATCGGCGACAAGAGTTACCAGAGAGCGCTGTCTTTTGTTTCCGGAGCGTTGCCATTTGCCGAAGATGTCCTTCGCCCAGGATCCATTATGGGCATCCAAGCGATATTGCTCCTTGCCCAGTACTCACTTGTTGATCCCAAGCACTTTCGTCCGTGGTACATTGTGGGAATGGCCGTCAGGGTTATGTTGGATCTAGGTCTGCATCAAGATCCTCCGGCGGAAGACCTCCCTTCCGAGGAACGTTTAGATATGCGCCGTCGCGTCTTCCACTGTGTCTACTGTCTGGACAGGTTTGTTCTGCACTTCTCCGGCTTGTTCACTCCACTAACTGACTCCTTCAGGGGTGTAAGTACCGCCTTGGAACGCACGTTTTCAATGTCCGACGAGTCTGTCAACGTTGCGTTACCGTCCGAATCGAGCAGCGCTTCCAGTCCAATTTTCTTACACTCTCCTACCCCGGCCTGGCACTTAGTCAAGATTCGCCAAATCCTGTCCACGGCGTACCAGAAGAAATATATACATGATAATGACCCGTCAGTGCAGTCGCCGAACTCCACCTGGCGGCTGTGCACCAAAGCCCAGGAATGGTTCAACACGATGCCCCAGACAGCACCAAAATTCTTCCCTCTCCTATGCAGACTGGAACTACTCTATACCATGGTTATTATCCTGTCCCCTAACGGTTCTCCGCCGACTACATATGACTACGATAAAGTCTTGCTGTTTGACCACTGCCTGCACTTCATTGACGAAGCTCACCAAATTCTGCGAGGGCCTCACCTCTTGCCGTTCCTGACATGCCTTGACATCCTGCGGGTATTCCAGGTCAGCCAACGTCTGATTGATGTCCTTCGTCAAGATTATGAGCTCGTCTTGAGTCCATCGGAGCCGGAATCGCCTCCCGTACCACCCGACGCGCCTGTTCCGCCGGTCTTATGCCCTGAAGATCGAATCAATTGCCATGGTCGAGTACTTGACTGTTTGGCCCGTACCAAGGAGCTCCTCCTTTTCGGGGTGGAAAAATGGGAGATGAGATCTCTTTTGATGACATTCCAACAAGAATCTGCTGCCATCAACGATCGATTGATCCAATCGCCGATTTCTTACTTCGTGGGGCACGAGGCTTATCTACCTGGACAACCTGACCCCCTGTTGGCCCCCGGTAGTGGATACGCGAATTTTGATTTTGGACAATTTGGCTCTTGGAAAACGTGAGCTTGTATGATTATACCCGTATATATATTGATGAATTGGAATATGATCTGAAGCTCTAACCTCCAATCGAGGGCTCTCTATTCTCAGATGGGATGAGGGTCCAGAGGCGCATCTCTGCCCTGCAGACATCTGACGAGATCGGATGTTCTACGGAGAACCTAGGCGTCCGCGCGCTGAAGGCGGATCGGGTAATCTCCGTTTGAACGTGATAGAACTCCACTTCCACTCACCCACCCACCCACTATGGAGGTGCTGCTCCATACTCCATGTGCCTGCCCTATGGACCTTATCGGGGAACCGCGTGGCGCAGATCCTGTGGCGCAGCATTCAGCTCTCGCCACAATGGGATCTTAGACGAAGTATGGATGCGTCAGTGCCCAAGAACCAGCTGGGCAGGTCGGGATCCCAGCGGAAAGACGAAACGAAAACGTAACAGGGAGAGGTTCCAGGTTGTTACGAAAGATCTCCAGGGAGGTCTGTCTTAGAACGGATCAGATTCCAATTCTGCTTGACGTCAGGCTGATGCGTCCCACGGATTTTGCGGTGGAGTCGGTCGAGGGACGAACCAAGGGGGCTCTGGTCTAGTTCCATTCTCGATCCCAATGCCCCTTGACCTGAGAATTCTGCATTGGATTACCTAGGTAGTATACTAGTAGTTAACGCTCAACATGGGCATCGATGCAAGTCCTCTGGGGTGAGTCCCGATCGCGGACAAGGCAGCAACATAGGGAAAAAGAACGACCCATTAACTAGTTATTTGATGGATGACGAAGGTTTGAAGCGGAGCTCCCCAGGCTGAAGATCGTCGACAGCTCAGACAAGTCAAGTCGTTCCCGAGCACTCGATCGTCCGGATTAACTTTCTGGGTTGACTCTGGCCATGGCGAACGATCATCAACAATGAGGGCGATGATCTCATGGCGATGCGAGCAAGTTTTGGAACGAAGTCCGACGTAGAGCGTGTAGTTACTGGCCAGGGACCGACTGGACTCCTATGCCGCCCACGAAACGGTGACGTCAACCACCATCGCACAGGAACAACTGCTTCGGCTCTACTACTACTATTACTACTACGACGGACTCCTGTCTCCGTCCATTGCGACCTTCCTTTTCTCCTCTGGATCGTCATCCAGCGTATTTAATACTTAATCATTGTGGTGATCCGCTATTTATTGTTCTGCACATTCCTCATCCCCAGAGCCCTAAAATTCCACTGATACCCCCCAGCGACGCGTCGTCCCTTTCCGTTGCCCCCTTGCTACGATTCTTCCTATTTTCCTCGTTTCCTCGGAGACTGGGCCCTCTTCGATTGTTCTTTCTTGCCAGTACCCGTCTTTCCTCGTTGGAATCTTCTGGTCTATCGTCTGCCTCCCTCAGGTGACCTTGTTTGGGTCTCTTGTACAATACCCTCCCCCCCAACATCCATACATACCTATTATACCCTTGACTTTTACTTGTTGTTTAATTGAATCGCCATACGCACACCATCATGCCGTCCGGAGTAGTGAACCGTCCCGTTGACGTGAAGTTGAGGGATCAGGTGAGTCCGTGCCGCACATAGGACAACGGGCCCTCTACTAATGCGAATGACGACGCCCAGGACATCAATAACAAGCTCCAACTGTACGGAATATACCAAGGTAGCCATCCCTTCACAGCTGAGAGTCATCTTTTTCCCACCTGTTGGCTAACGCGACCGATCGCATAGCGTTCAAGAATGGCAAACTTCCATCGGTAAGTGCAGGGCCCCATAGCAGGAACCGCCCAGTATACCGTGCACTAACACCTTCCACCACAGAACAAGCAATGCGACACTGCGCTGAACAGCGCGCTTCGTTCGAAAGCCCTTTCATCCCCATCAAACGAGCTGTCCGAGGAAGGACGGGCCCTCGTGGAAGACCTCCGGGACGTCATCGAAAACGCGAAGAGGCTACTCCTCAGCAAGAACGAGGGCCAGCTGCTTCAGGAATTTATCTGGGAGGCTGAGTCCGTAAACTCGGTTGACGTTCAGGGAAAGCCTGAAGTTGGCTTGACGAAGGACTCCGCCCAGCAAGACGGCAAACAGGCTCTTGAGGGCCTCAAGACTCTGGGAACGCTGTTGATAACCAACGGCGAATTTCGCAAGATCCGTATGTGGATGACATCATATCCGTCAACGCCATCCTGGTACTAATAACATGTGACCTGCCGTAGTGAACGATGCTTGGATCATCGCGCGCGACATTGCCGGCGACGGGGCCCAGAAGGCAGCCAGCAAGGTCCGGCCATCCGAAGACGAGCTTTCTCAGGTCGATCAGCCTGCCCCAGAGAACACCTGGCACGAAAAGCCCGATTTCTCGAAGCACAAGGACCAGCTCACATCGAAGTTCAAGAAAAACAAGGATAAGGTCTGCACCCCTCCCTGTTGAGCATTAGACTATGACACTGACTCAATCCAAGGCCAAGAAAGATGCCGGTGATGTTGCCGACACTTCTGCGCAAGCAGGAACAGATGGTCGGGTAGAAACCGCGTCAGACGTCGACGCCAATGCTGCCGTGAATGTAGGGACCCAACAAGCCAAAGAGAAGGTCTCCGGCGCCGTACCTGAAGAAACGAAAGGTCGTGCTCGCGAGGTGACCGATCGCACGAAAGACTACCTCTCGAGAAAGATGCCCAAGGAACGTCGGGAGCAGGTCACTTGGCGGCTTAAGAAGATGGTGTTGGAGATCCAGGGCCATTCTGATTGTAAGTCAATTCGTTCGTCTCGTGGCCGGCTGTGTATCGGAATTGACTGGATCGACTACAGACCAGCAAGCTATCAATACCCTCATTGGTCTCGTTGAGAAGTATGGTAGCACCGGCCGGCACGCTTCTCGGCAAGGTACGGGTGTTGTTCAGGAGGTCCGCAGCACTGGCAAAATCCAGACGATGGAGACCAACCTGCGTGTACGTTGACTTCTTTGCGTGGGAAGCCTTCGATGCTAATGTGATCCTAGGTTCTGATCGAACGTTTTGCGAACAGCACCTCTCTTGATGGCTTGTTCGATGCTCTTGAGACTATCTACCGCGACGCGGATAAGGACCCGGAACTGAAGGGCTGGTTCAAGAACTTGGACACCTTCATTCGGTAGGTCTTCGATGACGCTCTACAATTTAACAGCGACAGCATGCTGACTAGCACAGCAAAACGCTGCAAGAACAGGGATATGTCATGCAGGACTCCTGGACCCGTGAATGGAACCAGCTGTCGGACCACGGCCGCTACCTGCTCCGTGACCGGTATAAGGACCACACGGACAACATCCTGGATGAGATTCGCTTCATTGGCAAGCAATTCGCCGAGGACCCGCTCAACAAAGCCTTTGGCGAGTCCATGGAGAAGCTTTTCAACGACCTGGGTCGCGACTCCAATGGTAACGTCTCTTTCAAAAAGCATCTCCTGCGCGACGTCAGGGACGTCATCCTTCCCGCTACTTTTGAGAATGTTCGCTATGTTCCGGTTCCTCGCATCGAAGTGTCTGACCCCGTCGCTGATGTGGTGAGTGGACTTCATATCTTAATTGTCACAGAGGTCGAGTTTACTAACGAGTCAGGTTGTGGAAAACATCGTAATCGAGAGTGATAATCTCATGCCAAATGTCGTGGAGTTTGGCAGCGACAATTACTTCCGCTGGGGCCGGAAGAAGATCAAGAGCAAACGTGACAACAAGATCATGATTGCCGTGTCTGGAATCCAAGCGGATCTCAGAGGTAAGTTCAATCGCGGCACGCTCCATGCAAAAGCCGTGTTGACTTAAATCTTCTAGATGTGAGCTACTATGTCAACAAGAAGAAGGGATTCCCTTCTTTGAAGGACACCGGTGTGATGGATATCTTCTTGGGCGGCGAAGGCTTCGGTTTCAAGATCGCCGCCTCCACTGCGCACAAGGAAGACCGCCAGAATTTCATCAAGCTGGACAAGGTGGCCGTGAAGATCGACCACCTGGACATCAAGCTGAAGAAGTCTAAGCACAAGGCACTATTCACCGTGTTCAAGCCCTTGCTCTTCCGGGTCGTGCGACCAGTCTTGCAGGACGTGCTTGAGCAAAAGATCCGCGAGTCCTTCGAGAAGGGCGACGCCTTTGCGTATGAAATCCACACCGAGGTCCAGCGCGCCAAAGAGGCCAGTCTCGAGGACCCGGCTGAGGCGCCCAACATCTACACCCGCTACCTCGACACCCTGCGCCAGAAGATGGCCGAGAACAAGAAGAAGGCCGCCGAGGTCGCCCAGCGCGATACCAAGGTGCAGACCGCCACCACTCTGTACGAGTCGATGTTCCCTGAGATCCGTCTCCCCGGCGGCATCTCCTCCAAGGCCACCGAGTACCGGGAGCTGGCCAAGCAGGGCGAGGGCTGGGAATCTCCCGTCTTCAGCATCGGAAAGGCGGAGGAGTCCAAGGACATTCCTGCTCCAGGCACCATCACCCGTAAATCGCGGACCACCGGTCCCGCCGGAGTGACTGATGGTGGAATTGGCGCCACAGGCGGTCAAGTCACCAATGGCCGTCCCGCTGTGAGCGGCGCTGGCGCAGTGACCAACGGTACCACGCAAAAGGTCACCAATGGCGCCACCAACGGCACCACGCACGCTGGCGCAGCTTCGACCAACGGTCACACCAAGGCTGTGGATGGAGCGGATGGTCTGGCTCGCAACGGCAACTTGAAGCTCACCCCAGAGGGGCCCACCGTGCCTGGAACGGAGAATGCCTTTAATCCCCAGCACGCGTAAGGGGCGGTGCGAATGATTATTGTTTCTTATTGGTTCTGTCTATTTAGTATGTGCTTTTGACTTGATATCCTGTTTCTGTTATATCTGGGCTTCTGTTATGTTTCCTGGGTCACTGCGAGTGTCTGATCCCACTTCTAATCTAATTAGTGGCCGGTGTCTCCGCAGAAGTAATTAGGTCTAATGTTTATGTCAATGTATTGAATTCAACGTTGATTCTCAGTCCAGCCGTATAATTTATTAAGATAAAAGTCAATTGCTATTCATAACCTGCGTCTATAAACATCTATTATACTCCTTTTGGCCAGGTCTACATCTGGTTGAAGTACTTTTCCCACCCGAGCTCGCGCATCTTGGTTCCCTTCAGGTCCATGTTTTCCGTTCGGGCGTTCTCGGCATAAGCCTCCACCTTGCGTTGGATGGCAGGATCGAAGGCACCCAGGATGCGGGCGGCCAAAAGGGCAGCGTTCACACTGTTGTTGATGCCGACGGTGGCAACGGGGACGCCTGGAACGATTGCATTAGTATACTTCAACGAAAACCAGAACGGGGCAGGCATACCTCTCGGCATCTGCACAATACTGTACAAGCTATCGACACCGTCCAAGGAGCTGCCCTTGACCGGCACGCCGATGACGGGCAGAGCGGTGTGGGCCGCGGCCATACCAGGCAGATGAGCCGCTCCACCAGCCGCGGCAATAATGACCTTGATACCGCGAGCGGCGGCGCTGGCCGAGTACTCGGCCATGAAGGTAGGCGTACGGTGAGCAGAGGTGATGTCCACGGCGGGCTCAATGCCGAAGTAGTCCCGGAGGAGCTTGAGACCCGGGATGAGGGTCTTGAGGTCACTGTCGGAGCCCATCATGACGGCGACGGTGGGCGCGGGCTTGGAAACACCGGACGTCTGGGGCTTCGTCTTGACATCAGAGCGCTGGGCGCGGATCTCGTCGACGACGTCGATCAGAGGCTGGATATGGGTCTCGGCTTCGTGCATCGTTGCGGCGGTGACGGTGATGTGGCCCATCTTGCGGCCGGGCTTGGCGGCGCCCTTGCTGTAGAGGTGGATGCTGGCGTTGGGGATGGACAGCGCGTGCTCGGCAGCCTTCAGGTGGGTGTCGGGGGCGGCGCCACCGATGATGTTGAGCATGATGGAGGGCTGGCGGAGCTCGAGGCTCTTGGCTGGGATGGGGAGGTCGAGAATGGCGCGGATGTGAGCATCGAACTGAGAGAGAGGGCAGCCTTCTATGGTGTAGTGGCCGGAGTTGTGGATGCGACTGGCAATCTCGCACAGAAGAAGGCTGTCGTCTTCAAGGAGGAACATCTCTACACCAAAGACACCCTTACCCTCGAAGGCAGAGACAGCCTTGCGGGCCATCTCCTGCGCCTTCTGGTTAATGGCGTCGGAAACGTTGCGCGCGGGGGCGTAGACGAGCTTGCATATCGAGTCTTCCTGCACAGTCTCGACTGTGGGGTACGACAGGACATCGTCCTTGGTCTTCACGACCATGACGGCCAATTCCTGGTTTATCACGTTAACCGGAGTCGAATCAGGGCGGAAGACAAATGCCCACCATCTTAAAATAAGCCCATTTCTCAGCGTACAAGGGCCGCTCCTTCAGAGCCTCCAGGGCTTCGGGGATGTCGTCTTTGGAGTTGACGCGGAAGTTTCCTAGAAGAAATGGGCATCTGATTAGCATTGTACCATTTCAAATTTCTTTTTGCTTGCAAAACTTACCGCGTCCATCGTATGCCATGGTCTTGGACTTCAGCATCATAGGGTATCCAAGCTGTTCTCCAACCTTGGCCAGCTCCTCCGGCGTGTTCTCTGCCAGCTCGCGATGCTCTGCCATCGGAATGCCATACTTCCTCAGGTGCTCCTTCTGGTTGAACTTGTTCTGAATCGTCCGGATCGCTTGCCAGCTAGGTTCGACCTTGACTTCGGAGGCAACCTCCTCGAGCGCATAGGTATCGACATGCTCAATTTCGGCGGTGATGACGTCGCACGACTGCGCCAGCTTCCGGACGGCCTCGCGCTCCTTGAAGGAGCCCGTAACATGACCGGCGTGGTTGCTAATCTGTTTGGCGGGGGCGTTCTCCGCATCCAAGACGTTGGCCTGGATGTTCAATCGGTTGGCAGATTCCACTAGCATGCGGCCCAATTGGCCTCCACCGAGGATTCCGACCTTGGGCGAGTTCCACATGGTGAGCTGGGGAAGTTGGTGGAAGAAGTGTTGAGAGTGGGAGAGGTGGTGGTCGAGGTGGTACTGGGAGAGAAAAGACGAGCCCCTCCTCCGCGTTCAAAAATTCCCTCCGCGATAACTGTCACGTGCCGCGGCGATAAGCGGCTCCACCACTTCTGCTGTTTCGCATCGCGTCAACTCGAATGACTTCTCTCCGCCTCCAACCTCATCTTGACTACACCAGAATGTCTCTAGGTGAGTGGTAGCTCGCACATGACCTCTCATGCTCTCTGTTGCTTGCGTCGCCTTGGTCTTCTCTCCCATCGCACATCCGCAGCAGTCCAATCACTGCAGCTTGGAGAAGCTACCTGAAGCACCGCCAGCTAACACGACATCATGTCATTAGATGAGGAAACCCTCGAGACGGTCGCCAATGGCGGCGTGATGGATTTGTACGACCTCTCTCCTTCCAAGACCTTCTTAGTCACAAGATCGAGTCCTGACTTTCCTTCCTATCCAGCGAGAAGTGGCCGGGCATGGTCGAGCCCTTAATTGAACGATTGGAATATGTGCGCAGAAAGATTCGCCCACGTTCTTGAACACATAAAGCTTCATTCTAACCCACCGACTGGAATCAGATCGTCTACAATGTCTTTCCCATGCCTGAAGCTCCCCCGGAGCCGGCACTCATCCCATTCTCCGATGAACAACAGCCACAACAACAGGACAACCCCTCCGCATCCTTCCTGCAAGAACCCAATTCCCTCCCCTCCAGCAGTAACAAACAAAACGCCTCTCCCGCCGAACTCCAAACCCCGCCTCGACCGACCGCCTCATCCTCAATGGCACCACCCTCGTCCGCCGACCGCGTCCCGGACTCCCAGCCGCAATCCGACGCGACAGCAAACGGCGCCGCCACAGGTCCGGCCCTCCCCGCTCCACTAATGCTTCTCCTCGACTCGACCCGATCGACGCTGCGCTCTCTGTTCAGCGTCAAACCTCCACACACCATCCAGCGTCTCGCCGAGCTGATTATCCGTCCGAACGCGCACTACCGCACGCTCCCCGCGTACCTGCGCGCAGTTGACAGAGTCGTCTCCGTGACCAGCAGCGCGGACGTGTTCCCCCTGCAACTACAGCCGACCCAACCGAATGGCGTCCACAACGGTGCGGAGACAAGCTTCCCTCTCCCCGATCATGCGATGAGCGGCGACGAATCGTTGGGCGGCGCTCTTCTGACCCCGATACCGTGGTTGAATAACGCTGCTTCACCGGAAGGTGGAGACGGGGTGCCTGAAGGTAAAACGCTTCCCCTTCGACGTCCGTCTAGATATTGTCGCTGACCATGACGCAGGGCTGGAGACCATGGCTGCGCAACCCCTCCAGGAGATGGAAGGCACCACCACTCAGCAAACGATCGTGCAGTCCCAAGCAGCACCGGGGGGAATTGAGAACAAAGCGATGGAAGGCAGCGGGTCTCCACCCGCCGATGTGGCGGAAGACGTTCCGCATGCGCGTGGACCGCAGATCATTGGCGTGGAGGATATGGGCCTCCAGGACGGGCATGGGGTTGAGATGACCCTCTCCAACCCGGAAGATGGCTCCAGCCAGCCGACGTCTGCGCAAGGCGGCCAGCAGACCGGCCAGTCGGACGTCGGCGACGAGGGCAACCAGCAGTCAGTCGCCAAGGGACCGGCGGACGGTGACGGTGATATCCAGTTGAGCGATGCCAAAGAGGAGAGCGAGGGACCCGCCGCGTCTGCGCAGGCGGGACAGTAGATAGTATCATTCCTTTTGGCCTACGCCGTGGCATGTAGCCGGATCAACCGTGCCCATGGTCTTGATTTATTATGTTTTCTTCATGAGTGATGATCCGAAGTATGACTCGAGCTTTCCTTCAGCCTTTGTAATGAGAAGATGCTATTTTTTGGCCTCGTGTATGGTGTTACTTAGACAATGATCATGATGCGCGATTGCTGCAATTTCATATGAGATTCGAACATTGTCACCTGTGCAAGCCGTTTGCAGGCTATTGGTGGTTTACGTGATGCTAATTTCTATTTTGCGAGTAGAAATCCGAAACATTCCATAGCGAGAAAACAATAGAGGTATCAATGAACAGCGATGTAGAACATCCAAAATGAAAACCAGACAAACGCATGACATGCACAATCGTAATGCGAGACGTGATATCCATGTATAGTGTATAAAGCCTGTCTCCCAGCGCAGAGAAACAGGTTCAAGGGTATATAGATACTCAAGCAGCCGGCTCCACGGTCTGCAGTGGGACATAGCCTTCGTCGGCGCTAGGACCAACGGCGCCTCTGCCCGTGATGGCAGACCAGAATTTTGTACCAGAACGTCGAATCCACTGTACAGCACCCCGACGCGGACCATACCCATTGACAGAGAGGGCAGCACCCCACCAGCTCTTTTTGGAACCGTACATGCTGACATTGCCCATCTCAACCTCCTTCTCTAGTCTCTCGACACTCATCCAGCGTGGACGGTGCCAGAATTTGAGCAGCAGGCTACTTACCACGACAGAGACGCTGGATGCGGCCATGGCGGCGCCGGCGGCCATCGGGGGTAGCATGTAGCCAAATGGGAGGAAGAGACCCATTGCAAATGGGAGGCCAATGACATTGTACAGACAGGCCCATATGAGGTTCATCCTAATGCGGTTGAAAACTGAGCGAGATAGTGACAGGCTGGCGGGCACGCAGAGGAGGTCGTCCGGGCGCATGATGACAATATCAGCGGCCTCCATGGCCACGTCCGTGCCAGATGCAAGCGCGATGCCGACAGAGGCGGTGGCTAGCGCGGGGGAGTCGTTGATTCCGTCACCCACCATGGCAACCCGGTCGCCGGATGCCTGGAGAGAAGAAACAATGGATTGTTTGTCAGAGGGGGACACAGAAGCGTGAACGGCCTCTGGCGGTATGCCGACGGCCGAGGCGATGGACACAGCAGCGGCGTGAGTATCACCTGTGATGAGGGAGGTGGATATCCCCATGCGGTGCAGGGCCGCAACGGCCGCGACTGCAGTGACCTTTACGGTGTCTCGAAGCATGATGGTGCCTGCGAACTGGTTGTCGATTGCGACATGGATTTGAGTGATACCGGCGGTGGCCTTGGTGTTGGAGGTACCTAGCTCTTCGGATTCTGCAGTCTCCGGAACCTTGACGTCCCTCGACCGTAGGAAGGCAGCATTCCCAATGAGCACACGATAGCGGATGCGCTCAGCACTGGAGGAAGGCTCAACCACAGCGGAGATACCCTTGCCAACACATGCATCGAAGTCACCCAAGCTACCAGGCAGTCCGCCTTCTCCAGGGTGGCCCGATTCCGCCTGGGCAGCTGAAACTATGGCCCTGCCAATAGGATGTTCACTGTTCATCTCAGCAAGGCCGACGATAAGCCACCACAGCTTACGACGCCAGTCGTTCGACGTCCAGTGACGCTCGATTTTGGCTTCGGCCACACTCATCTTTCCGGTGGTCAATGTGCCAGTCTTATCAAATACCACATGGGTAATGCGGGTCGCGCTCTCGAGAACAGCACCGCCCTTGACAAGAATTCCATGTTGCGCACCAACTCCGGTGCCAACCATGACGGCCGTGGGAGTGCTGAGACCCAGAGCGCATGGACAGGCAAACACAATGACTGAGATACACAGCTTTAAACACACCATGACCTTGCCGCCGCTCCCTTCGGCGACGAATATCCTCGGAGGATTGGGCAAGACATGGCTCATGAACATCCAGCCGAAGAAAGTGACCAGTCCCAGGCTGATGATGGCGGGAACGAAGTATCCTGCGACAACATCGGCCATGCGTTGAATGGGGGCCCGGCTGGTCTGTGCATCCTGAACTAGTTTGACAATTTGGCTTAGTTGCGTGTCTTTACCTGCACGTGTCACCCTGAAGTCGATCGAGCTCGTCCCGTTGACCGTTCCCGCGACCACAATACTCCCTTTAGTCTTGTGGATGGGCAAGGCTTCGCCGGTGATCATGCTTTCATCAACATAGCTTTCCCCTCGGATGACAACACCATCGGCAGAGACTTTATCGCCCGGGTGAAGGATGACTATATCTCCAACCTGAATGAGTTCAGTGGGAATGATTTGATGCCCAGGTCCGGATCGCTCCGCAGTCGAAGTCGACTTATGGTCACCGGAAGGAGGTGCCGAGCTATCCCATTCTTCAGCCAACTTCTCTGCCGCGATGGGGTCATCGTAGATTGTGGTCATCGAAGGGGCCAGGGACATGAGTCGCGATAGAGCGGCAGATGTTTGGCCCTTCGCCCTGTTCTCCAACCACCGGCCAAGGGTGATGAAGGTAATCAACATCGTGCTTGTATCAAAGACCGTGCTTGGCCGCGTCGGTGATGCGGTGAAAAGGGAGACCACCATGGTGAAAACACTGTAGAAGAAGGCGGCCGACGTCCCCAGCATTACCAGGACGTCCATGGTCGGTGAGCGATGCTTTAGCGACTTGTAGCTCGTGACGTAAAAGCGCTTTCCAATACCAAATTGCACGGGAATGGTGAGGAGAAGACAGGCGACGTCCCCTAGATAGACACCCGGTATAATCCGAACTTTCCCAAAGTCGAGAGCTGGGAGGTACATAGGCAACATCATGTTGATGACGAACACGGGGATTGCAAATGAGAGAGAGAAGAGGAAAGCGCGTCTCCATTCATGAACTTCTTTGGTTTTGGATAGAGATTCTAGTTGGGCATTAGTGTCGTCAGAGTCCGCAAGCAAGGCGTTATATCCAGCTGCTTCAATCATCGCCACGAGGGAGCGGATGCCAATCACAGACGGATCAAAAGAGATTGTGACACGCGAAGTCGCCATATTTACAACTGCAGAAGCGACGCCGGGTTGAAGGAGCGATTCCTCCAATGCGCTTGCTGACGTCGCATCTCGCAAACCGTGAAGGCTCATAGTGACAGTACTCTGGGTTTTTGAGATTGGTCCTTGCGCTTGGGAGGAAACGACCGCTGCATCAAAGCCAGCATCTTCGATAAGGCTAACAATCTTCTGCGCGGAAAGCACGGCCGGATCATGCGTGACCATTGCGCGCTCCGCGAGTAAACTGATATTGAATTGGACCACACCGTCGACGCCCGTAAAGGCGCTCTGAACGCTTGCCGTACATGCCCCGCAGGTCATGCCCTCGATAGATACTGTAGTCACCGTGAGCTGAGACGCAGTCTCAGTCGTCTCGTGCGACGCGCGCACGCCCGGTTGTTGTGTGGAGGTCTCCAGGACCTTCGCGTCAAAGCCACGATCTTCAATGATCTCGGCAATCTGATCAGGCGCGATGACAGACGCATCATGTTCGACAACGGCGCGTTCCGACAGCAAAGAAACGCTGACTGACCGCACACCAGCGACGTCTTTCAATCCTCCCTCAATCGCCGCGGTGCAGGCGCCACAGGTCATACCCTCCACCGCCAAAGTCGTAGTCGAGACCTGCGACCCATTGCCATGTTCCTTCCCCGTATGCGCTGACGGAGTATCGGTGGAGAGGATAGTCGCGTCAAAACCGGAATCTTCGATAATCTCGGCGATCTGCTCGGGCGAGAGGAGCGAGGGATCATGGTGGACGACGGCGCGGTTCATCATCAAGCTCACAGACACGTCCCCGGCACCGTGGACCCCTTTGAAAGCAGCCTCGACGGCGGAAGTACATGCGCCGCATGTCATACCTCCAACATTGACCGTGGTGGTGGCCATGTGGGCCGGGGTGGAGGAGCCATCGTCGCCGGGCGGGAGTACATCGGCGGGGGATGAGACCGTCATCGCGGAATGTGGAGGGTTCTCCCCGTGGTATTATCGCATAGGAGCGATTCTCGAGAGGAGATATAAGAGGACTGAGAAAAAAAAAAAAAAAAAAGAAGTTGGTGTTCGACGTCACAGGTTCTGGTACAAAGGTAACGTCAGCACAGGATGGGTCGGAACGGATGTGGACGGAAAACCACGATGGATGGAGCGGGAAGTAGATTGATAAGAGGGCCAACGTACGCGGGCTGTCGTACTACACGGGCATCGTGGACGGACGGACGGATGGGAAGAAGAGGAGAGAAGATGAGAAGAGAAGAAGAAAGTAGTATGAATAATGAGGATGGAAGGCAATGGATATAGAGAGAGGGAGAGAGAGAGTGGAGAAGGAGCAGATTGCAGGGGGATCTTGACCACATTCCACTAACTAGTTAACTCTACCTTCCTTACTGCCTCTGCAAGGCGATCACTCAATCACATACAGTACTAACAGACTCCGACTACTTCAACTGTATCAATAATACCAGTCATACACTCCACCCCTCTCCCAATACATCGGGAATACCATCCGCATACGTCGCCAATACGCTGTAGGCGCCCTGTAGTGCAACCGGCTGTACCACCTCCCCTGCACTCGTCACACAGAAACTCCAGCTGAGAATGGACAGAGAACCAATCACGAAAAGGAACCATCCACCGCAAGTTTGCTTCTTGGAAATCTTATGTCATTTCGTCAAGGGTCGGACTGGTTTGACACTGAAGCGTCTGTGGGCGGCTAGAGGTTTCACCTAGAGAGCTATCTCGAGACCAAGAGTCGGACCATAGTAGTAGGGGTTCTCGGCGTCAAGAACAAACCTAGTCGGAATGCCTAGGATGACAGCTGTACCTAACTACTGCGGGTATTCCGAGATTCATCCGTTCGAGCTGGAAATAACGGCTAAATTGTATCAACGCCGTGCGAGACTTGATAGAGGGTGTGTTTGCATCCCCGCCAAACACATCCCAATCGGGAAATCTGGATAGCATCATCTCCATTCAACCATCTCCATCTCCATCATACCTACTTCTTCTATTAACAATCCTCCACGCCCTCCCTAAATCTTCCCTTTCGACACACACCTTCTAGTACCCCCTAACAACCCTCCCCTTCTATATCTCCCCCCCTTCTCTCTATCTTCAACACAATGGACCAGGCACACACCCGGGCTATGGAGGCCCTACAACCGTTCATCCATCTCGCGACCTCCAGCAATGCCCCGTCTCCTAAGTTCCTCTCCAATCTCATTTCGAACGCAACCTCCAGCCCCAATACCTACGTCTTTGCCGAGCTTCTCGAGATCCCCGCCATCCAATCTCTCAGATCCGCCGACACTCCGCCAGAATCCCAAGCTTACCTGACGCTCCTCGAGATCTTTGCCTGGGGCACATGGCAAGACTACCAGGGTGAGCCTCCGTCCCAGCAGACAGTCCCCTCTTATATTGTCATACTAACCTGAACCTCCCACAGCAACGCCAAACCTCCCCCAGCTCAACGAACAACAGACCCTCAAACTCCGACTCCTCTCGCTCCTCTCACTAGCCGCCACCACCAAACCCCTCACATACGAAACCCTCATGTCCGCCCTCTCCATCTCCGCCCCTGCCGAGTTGGAATCCCTCGTCACCACCGCCATCTACGCCTCGCTCATCGCCGCCCGCCTCTCCCCCGCCTCCAGCCCGCCCACCGTCAACGTCACCGCCGTCGCCCCGCTGCGCGACGTTAAACCCCAATCCCTACCGACCATGATCTCCATCCTCTCCGAGTGGGAGGCCTCCTGCGGCAACGTCATTAGCGACATCGAGGCTGAACTCGCCAAGATCAAGACCGCCGCCGCCAAACGCCGCGCCCACGAGCACGCCCGCTCCGTCCTCTTCCAGAAGTCCCTCGCTGAGATCGGTAAATCCTCCGCCTCTGGACCCGAGGCGCTCGCCGCGTCCAAATTGTACGGCCCGGGCGCCTCCGGAGGCTGGCAGAGAGGCAGTCTCGGCGGGAACAAGCGCGAGTTCAACCCCGATGACTTGGACGAAGGGGACGACGGGTACTGGGAGAATGGGCCGGACGGTGCCTATGATTTGCACGGGGTGGGCGCTCGCATGGACATCGACGATGGCACGGCGTTCGCGAGAATGGGAGCGGGAGCCAGACATGCGAAGCGGGTGCTGGGGAAGAAGACGTAACTTTTGCCATTTGACGCCCTTTATTTTAATGACCGATCCAACAGCAAACCTGTTACGAAATATCCAGATCGTTTTCTATGTCCTTCTCGTCGCGATAGAGCTGCTTCATATGGGACCCGCTCTACATCCTTCATGTCATCTACGTCCTAGTCCTGAAGAAGGCATATCACGATCAATTGAGATTACCTGAATATTCCCGCAACACCGACAGCCTCGGTCAAGGTCATTTAACGTACATCAAAAGCTCGGCAGACAAGGGGTATTGAGAAAGTAATAAACAAAAATGGAAAGAGAAAGGAAAGCTAATGTTGACAAGATCCAAAGGAGGGTGGGAGTCTTAGTCTCAAGCACCTGGCTGCGATCAGACCAGATTTATATCAGATGTGTGATGCGGAAATCTCTGCGGCGAGGACACGAATCCATAATGGGTTGCCGCCGTCCACGACAGGGAAATGACACGACACATGCTTTCAATGCGTCCGTCTCAGTAAGAGCATTAGCATTACCCGGTGTAAGTCAAATGCACACGCCTGGACCATATGCCTGCAATATGTCCCAACAAAGACAAAAATATCAAAGCACGCTGGAAAGTTGAGCAGTAAATGATCACCGAAGACATCACAGCATAGTACCCGGAACGAAGATGAACAGAACACTCAAGGCAGCGGCGACAAAAGCCGCGATGCCCATGGTGGCAGTAGCTCGCTTATTCAAGAGTTTCCGGACGTATGGTTCCCGGATCGGCGACCAGCTCATAAATGTATACTCGCTGTAGCCAAGGAACGCCATGACGGGGTCGATCTTATACTGGTAGGAGACGATAAAATAGGCCGCGACGATGAAAGGGAGAATCACCTGAAACAGTTAGTGATGATGACATTGCGATCGACGACAATCGACTCACCCAACAACGAATGTGTCGTGGTTTGTTGCGCAGTACCACATAGAAGGCGCCCCAGAAACCTCCACCAAAACTGATTAAAGCAAAGGCTAGACGGGCAACAATGCTCAGCGGAACCAGATTTCCCAGAGCCTTTGCCTGCAAAAACCCAGGGAAAGCATCACGTTCCATAGCCTGGAAAACGTAATCTTTGGCGGGGTCGAAAACCTCCGGATCATCTCTACCGTCGTCTTCAACCAGGTTGATAATCGTTGACACCATTGGCTCGGGCAACACAATCTCCCTTTCCGCGCCAGGAAGGAGGTATGTGTACAGGATCTTTTCCGCGCTGGCGCGAATGTCCGCGCGTGCTACTGTGTGGCCTGGAGAATTGGAGTCGTTTTGTGTGCCAGAGCTTGCGCGAGGTTGCTCATTAGACTGGGTGCGAGCCGCATTCTGTGACCCAAGAGAGTTTTGGGGAGAGTGTCCCGACGTGTTTCCATCGGACCGCAAGAAAGCAGACAACCTCTGATCAACATCCTTGTCATCAAGGTCCTGATAGCCATGGCGCGACGGTCCCGCTTCGACCAGAGGAATATCACCAAAATGCTCGAGGGTTTCCAGGGCAGCCGAAGATCCCTTGCTGTGGGTTTTCTCCAAATCGGGCGTGGCTACCAAGACAGAACGACGGAGCTCGCGGACATAGTGACGGCAGAGGGACATGTGCTGTGAAACATCGAGCCTGAATTGACATCGCGGTTAGGAAAAGTTCTGCGATACGGAGGACGTCGCCAAGCATACCAGAAATCAAGATAATCGACCGAGCGCTGCTGGTCTCGCATGTAGATGTAGAAGGAAAAGAGGTCGACCGGAGCGAGTGTGCGGCGACTAAGCACTTCGAACAGCGTCGGAAGGCGATTCCGCTGCTCCAGATCGATCATAGACGGTGACGCCATTTTGAAAAGAGGGAATTATGGCGATGTTCGTGAGGATTCGAAGGTGAAACGAGGGGCCGAAGGTCGAAAGGAAAAGGGGCGAAAGAACGTCGGAGTTGGTTAGTTCCACGGAAATCAAAACAATGACCAATTTAAAGAAGCTCAGATCCCAGATCGAATCGAATGATGCACAATAGCGACTCTTGTTCGTAGAGCGCTGGGTAACGAATGACGGAGGTACTATTCGCGCCTCGCTCGCGATGACCGGTGGTTTTATAGGGGGATGGAGAAGTCGTCGGCGTAGGCACGACAATCAGGCGCGAATAGAGATATTATTGTAGAAATGGAACACACGCCATCCAGAGCCCTGGTCAACTGGGATGCAAGACTGTGTTGGGGGAAAGGGAAGAAGCGAAATACAACGAAGAAAAACAAGCATAACAGGGGAGTCAAACAAGGCATCAACATCCAGCCGTTCGAGTTCTCGGCCGGCCCCGCGTCAACATTGCTCCGAAATTACATCTTAATTTAACGTCCCGTGTCGATCGCTTTAATAACCTCGAGATTCGTCAAGATCGAAGCCGTATATAATACCAGTGATAATAACCAACATGACGCTCCTCCATGCTCTGTGGGTATAAAGATCATTAACGCCAGCACCCGGAAACTCCTTCCCACCCGAACATGTACACCTCAACCGCCCATGCTTCATTCATCGTAGAATCCTCAATGTCCATCGGCCAAATGCTGTCGCCTTGTTAGCAGGAGCCTTCGTCCCGTCCGTCAGAGTCAATACTTACCGACCACTCGGGGATGTTGCGGATCTGTTGCCACATAAACTTCTCCAGCTTATTCGCACTCTTGGCATATGGCGTATTCTCGTTGTTGTACCGCCGGCAATTGTCAAAGATCAACATTGCATCCTTGATGAAGTCCTGCGGAGTCGGGTACATGTCCTTCTCATGCTTTTCCTCCATAGTCGACAGATCCATTGGTTCCTTGATAACTTCGTAATAATCTGGCACCTCGTCGCGATTGACCGGCTGTGTGAACGGCCAGGCGGCACTGTGGTTCTGCATGTCGTTGAGCAGGTGGAGTAGTTGGTTGTAATTGGGTCCATGGCGAGGTTGACGTGCCAATTCGTCCATGTCCGGAGACCATCCGGACTCCTTGATTGCCGGAATGCTCAGCGGATCAATCTTGCACGGCCCATTCTTCCATTCCTTGGGCGGCGGGTGGATGATGTGAGACCGACTGAACGCGCGAATCTTCGCATGAACCGCTTCTCTCTGCTTCAGAAGCATACGACCGACTTCGAGATATCGTATCTTCGGTAGCATTGTGCACTGCATGATCGTTCCGCCCTCGTAATCTTTGATGTAACCCATCCATATAGATTTATCCAGCGTGATTTCCTTCGTAAATCCTTGTTTTTTAAAGTACCCAATAGCGTAGTTATCTGCGTACGTCAAGAAATGCATGATAGGAGATGTCGCTTTGACGTAATCCTGTGCCGTATCAGCCACCACTCAGCGCATACATGGCATCCACGACGCGTACCTTCAAGTGGGACATTAGATGGGCACCGTAGCCCTTGACTTGTTGGTCAGAGGAGATGGCGCAGAACACGATTTCTGCGAATTTGCGACTGTTGAAGGGTCGGTATGTAATCCCCCTATGTGTTCTGTCAGCAAGGTCGCCCCACCCTCTCGAGGCCTATCCGTGCAAACATACCCTACCACCTCCAACGGATGTTTAACGATGGCGATCGACAGATGCGATCGATCGTAGACCAGTCGCGCAATGTAATCTTTTGGCATCTTGGGTAGTTGTTTTTGGAAGATGCACTTCAACCCGGTGAGAATGACGAAGCTATCCCGCGACCCATCGTTGTTGACCACTCGGAATTCAATCTCGCCGCGACGTTCTTCTAGTACTGCCGGCTATTGTAGGGGGCTTCATTAGCATCGTTCTCAGCGGACATGGAGGGAGGCTGATTACCTTCTCGGGAAAGGGAACGATCCGGAGTGGCGGCTTTCCCAAAGGCTCATCCTCTGTCTGAACAGCCATATTGTCAGCGCATCTTCGCTTAGAACACCCTCCACCCACATATAAACGAACCTTGGGCTCCTTCTCTGGGGAATCCGTGCGCGCCTTCTTGCTCTGTTGTTGCGAATCCGGGGAAAGCGCTTCCTCGGAAGCTTTGCGCTTATGATCTGGGACTGGAATCAGTAAATATCCATAGTGTAAGACTGTCGCGTATAAAATATTCAGCGAACGTACTCTCTGCTGCCATTGCGACAGGTCGATAGGATGGAAGAGAAGAGAATCGAAGTCTATAGCTGAGGCTCTGGTGATCTCCGCGTCGGGGCTGATGGGGCCCGGAATCGGCGGAACAATGTGCCGAGTGTTATGGTGATCTGGCCGCTACATCTACTTGCGCTTCTAGTATCTACAGTCCTCACTTTCTCTATATCCATTCGCTGCTTCATCAACTGCTGGTTTCAGTTCGATTGTTAACTCTCATTCACTCATGTCTCTGAACAAAGTGTGGGAGGCCGCTTCCGCAAGCCCTTACTCTCCCCTGATCTCCAAGGATCACCAATTCTCCGTCGGCTTCACTCTCTTGTTGTCCGGTAAGCACTTCGAACTCATTGAATCAATTAGCGTACGAATCACTGACCGTGCTGGTAGCCTTTATCCTGACCGGTCTCTTTGGTCTGAGTTAGTATTTTCTTATCCCACTGAGAATAGCCAGTCTTACAACTCTTGTCAGACCGTTCCTTCGCCAGTATCGCGTCATTCGGTGTTCCTGCGTCATTGGCATTTGGGTATGACTCTGTCAATTGCTCTCCACTAACCCTTGTGCCATGACTAACGTCCAACCTGTGCAGCTTCGGGGCTGTGTTCATGATCTGTGCCGTCGGAGTCTACGTCTAATTTTCCCGGTCTTCCCTCATCCCTCAATGTACACTACATTGGAGAGTCGAACGAGAAGCAAAAGGGCGCAGTACCTCTAAACTGATCTTCCTCTCACGCATCGCACCCTCTCCGTAATCCAATTCTATTCCAGCCTTCTCGCTATCTGTACACTTCAAAAATTCAGGGCCATGGCAAACGGGGAGCCTATCTTCTCAGCTGTCTCTGGCAACGCCCACCACCTCTACACTTCGCTACAGTGCATCGGCTTCGCACCAAGGGCTACCGTTCAAATTACCCCCGACGGCATCCGTTTCTCCGTGGAGGAAAGCCGAGTGATACAGGGACTCGCGTTCCTCGACAAAGCGCTCTTCACGAGCTACACCTTCAACCCGCCAACTGCCCTGCCAAACGACACAGAAGGCGACGACCATGACGATTCAGAGAGCACATACCATCCTTGTTTTGAGATCTCCCTATCGGCCCTCCTGGAAACCTTGAAAATCTTCGGCGCGAACGATCCATCTTCCTCCGCGCCTGGCTCCAACCGCGCCACAAGTGTCCAACCGTCGAACCCCGCCACATCCAGTGCCTTCACTGCGCCGACCTTACTCCTCGATCGCTCCTGCACACTGCAATACTTCCAGGATGGCTCTCCGCTCAACATCACGCTGTCCGAGACGGGCATCAAGACGACCTGCGAGTTAACCACCTATGAACCCGAAGTCAGCGGCAGCGACATGGACATTCCGCTCCAGCGTGACGCCATCATCATGAAGATTATCATGCGGTCCGCCTGGCTCCATAACGCCATCGCCGAGCTAGGCGCCACGAACCCCACTGTCTTGAAAATCTCCGCGTCAGCGCTGGAAGAGCCATTCTTGGCCCTGTCCGGCTCGGGCGGACCGTTCAGCGAGTCCACCGTGGAGTTCTCTGTCGAACAGCAGAACGCCAACGGCGGTAGTGGCCCACGTCCCTACCACAAGGTTCTGGCGGATGATGGATCGTCTAGAGCCCGCGCAAAACGGGCCAAGCTGGCGCCAACCGTCACCGAGACGTTCCTCGTCAGTCCGCCGTCCTCGATGGGCTCGCGCATCACCCAGAACTACCGATTTTCGCTCATTCAGAAAGCGTCCCGTGCGATGGCGGCTGCCAGTAAAGTTAGCATCCGGGGTGATCGTCAGGGGGTTTTGAGTCTTCAGTTCATGATTGACTTCGACAATAATACCGGAGCTTCTGGTAATACGAGACTAACTGGCGGCGCGAGCATCGGCTCTGCGGTGACTTTTGTGGATTTCCGTTTTGTACCATTACTAGATGAAGATGAGGGTGAGGGTGCAGACAATGAGCTTCGCTGAGTGTACAAAGTGGGCGTTGTCTATACCCAATATTATAGCAAATATACTGAATTGAACTGCACCCGAGTTGTGCCGGGAAATGTTCGGCAGTAGCTCATTAACGCATACCTGATGCACCTATGTTCTGGAATAATCTACTTTTGGTCGTTTGGTTATTATTATACACACAGATTTGGGTCTTCGCAGATCATCAAGGACAACTCTGGATACCCCCCTTTACATGACCTAGCCAGATTTGTTAGTACAAACGACACAGTTTTCAAGACACGTAACTTACCTCTGCAATGGACTGCCTCTCAATAATTGACTTCTGCTTCTCATTACGCGACACCCGGTAGTAGTAGTCGCTAAAGTCACCACATTGCATATGGCGCAAAAACTCTTCGTCGTGGGTGATGACAATCAACTGGAAGTTGGATTGCAGACGACGTGCCCGGATAATGTCATGCAGCGATTCAGCGAGAGATCGGATGTTATCGCGGTCCAGATTTGTGGTCGGTTCATCGAGAGCGATCAGACCGCAGTTGACGCCAAAACACTCTGCAAGCGCCAGCCGGATGATGATACTAGCGAGCACCTTCTGACCAGCACTGCAGCGTCCACGCATATCCATCTCCGCACCCTGCTTGACCATGCAGACACGATAGTTATACGACCGGTTGCCCTTGGCGTTTTCATTGTCGGATCGAATGAGGATTGTGTCGACATCGGTGCCGCGGTATGTCTTCTGCCAGAGTTCTCCGATGATGGCATTGATCTCCTCCATCTTCAGACCGTGATACTTCATGATGGCCTTGTCCAGGGCACCCCCATAGCGGGCCAGGTCGTCGACCGCCGCCTTGGTCGTTTCCACCTTGATGTGGGCTTCCTTGTACTTGGCTGCCGCGTCTTTGTAGTCCGTGTTCCAGTCCGCGAGGAGTTGCATCAGTTGATCGTCCTTGGACTTCATCTCGCCCATTTTGCTCGCCTGTTTCGCGGCAAGGGCGTTGTGCTCGCGGGTGCGTCGCTCAGATTCCTCTTTGAACCGGCTTCGATCAACTTCTGCATTCTGAGCTTCCAGCTGTTCAATTTCCTCGGTAACCTTCTCAAACGTTCGGTTTGCTTGGCGATAGGTTAGATTGTCCGCGTACTGGCGCTTTGTGTTCTCGCTATCCTTTAGCTGAGCAGATATCTTGTTGATCTCCCTGGTGATAGTGGCCTGTTCCTCTTCCAACTGGCTGATCTCTTGCTCAATGCTCTCGAGTTCGCGCTTGCTTTGGTCAAGTTGGCTCGGTCCACCCCGCCCATGGTAGGCTTCGATTTCCTCGTTGGAAAGCTCCAATTGGTGAATGTTCTCTGACAACTGAGATATTGTTTGCTGCATTTCCCTCTCACGCTGCTCCGCACGCTGGCTAATGTCGTCGTATTTAGCCTGGACTTGGAGGAGCTCTGGTGTCAAAGCCTCAATATCTTTGTCGGCTTTCTCAATCGCCTCTCGTTGTTGGGTATTGAGGGTCTTGTATTGCTCCATCCGCGTGAGAAGGTCGGCCTTTCGCTCCAACTGGAATTTCGCGTTGTCGAGGTTGCTCTTGACATCCCGCAATTGCAGCTCTAAGCTGTTGATCTCAGACCGCGTCTGGTCTTTGTCATTCGTAAGCTTCAACAGTGTCTTCTTCAAAGCTCTTGACTTCTCGCTGATGGCATTGATCTCATCCTGAATATCTTCCAATGTTCGAGAGGAGTTACTGTCCTGCTGTTTGGAAGAGAGATCCTGAATCTGCGCGCGGATAGACTTAATCTCGCCGTCATATTTCACAATAGTGTTGACAGTCTTGGAAAGGGCCTCAACGTCTCTCTTCTTCTCCATCTTTTCGCTGACGATCTTGTCGTGGTTTTCCAACTCGGCCAGTAGACCGTCACGTTTATTAAGGTATTCTCCCTCCTCTTTTTCCAACTCTGGGATTTCTGTGTCCTTGAGTCGAAGCCACATATCGTAGGCCGAGCTGGCAGCGCGAGCGACGTTGACGTCTTCCTCGAAACCTCGCACCTCGTCGTCCTGGGCGTCCCGTTGGGCCTTTTTCACAAGATTCTCGAGCTTATTCCTGAAGCTCTGCAACTCTGTATCATTTTTGAACCCACGAGTACACAGTCTGCAGACCTTGGCCTGCTTTGCGGTGTCGAGACAAGTTTTCATGTATTCGCCAATTCCAGCGTACTGTTCAGCGTCTTTTCGAGCAATGTCAAGTTGTGCTTGACGCTGCTTGAGGATCTCAGGGAATTCTTCGGGTTCGTCACCAACAGCTTCGCGGATTTCTTCGACGCATTCCTTCAGAGCCTTCTGTCGCTGGGCGAGCGTCTTCTTCACATCACTGAGTTTAAATTCGACTTGCTCCAGCTCGCGGCTAACTGCATCCCGCTTGTTCTCGGCGGTGGAGACTAGCTTGGATTCTTGGTCCAACGAATGCTGAAACTCCTGTTCCAGGGTGTCCGGTTTCCAGTCAGCGCCGACATATTTGGCAAGGCGTCCTCCGTGAGCACCCTTCATAGTTTCCAAGCTGCGTTCCCGCTCCTTCAGTTCCTTCTTTAGGTGGTCCAAGCGGGCAAGGTCACCAGCCCTCTTGGTCGCATCAATAAGCTCTGAGTTCAATCGCGCGCTCTCATCTTCTAATCCACGAATCTCCGAATTCACATTCTGGATCTCCTTATCCCATGATGCTGATTGTGCGCGCTCCTTCGCCTGGTTCAGGGAGGACATGATATCCTCGATGTTCGCTTCGAGCGCAGCTTGCACCCCTTCATCGACGTTGATCTCATTCAATTTGCCCTGGTAGCTCGCGGCCTCCTTCTCATTCGCCGCAATTTGGCGCTTGGCAGCATTCTTCGTTTCGTGCAAGGCGGACTTCCGTTGACCAATATCATTCAAGGTGGTCTGGACCTCACGCAGCTCCCCTTGTGCTTCCCGCTTGATGCGATCCAACGCCTGATTATGATCTTTCAGCAGTTTGCGGACCTTTTTCATGAACTCATCCATATGTGCCTGGTCCTGGACATTATCAAATCCGCGGATATTATTTGATCGCGCCATCTCCTTCGCCATTCTCTGTCGTCGCTCGATTTGGCGTTCATAATTTGCCTTGTCGTTCTCATACTTTCCATACTCGGCCTGTTTGACGCCCATCTTGTGACGACACTGCTCGATCCGGTCCTTGATCTCCATGTAGCTCTCCTTCTGGGCCTCTTCCTGCTGCTGGAACTGAACTTGTCTGGATTCGAACTGCTCGAGATTCTGCTCCAGCCACTCGTCCGGATCGTCGAGTTCAACGAGATGTCTCTTCAGGTTGTCAATGGTCGTCTGAACGCTCTTGGCCTCAATCCGTTTCCCCTCCAGAGCCCCGAGTACTTGCGAGTAACTTTCGGATTCTTTCCAGGCTTTGTCCGCCAGCTCTGCCACCCGACGCATCTCCTGAGACAACTGGTGCGTTTCGGCGCGAAGAGCCTCAATCTCGTCCTGCAGCTTGATTGACCTCTTCTCGGCGCGATCAGCTTTTTCCTTGTCTTCCTTGGCATGCTGCTCCATGATCTTGTATTTGGCGAGTTCTTCGTTCTGTTTCTTTCGGAGCGCTTTGATGTTATCGATGGCCTTGGTGTACTTCATTGCTTCGAAGATCTCATCGAACTTCTTCTTCAAGACGGAGGGTTCGCTCATGGGCCACAAACTCTCGTCTTGGTGACAGAAGATCACCGAGTCCAAGATGGCTTTGGAGACGCCGAGGTACTGGGGCATGATCTGGTCCAGTTCGGCCACACGGGACGAGATGGCTGTTCGCTCGCCGTCCTTGACCATCAACAGCTGTCCCTCCAGAGTCTTCTGTTGCCGCGTGGTTTTCTTCACCGTGAGCTGTAGACTTCGAGTGGCGACCATTTTGGCCCCGGAGGTGCCTTTGAATGATAACTTGACTTGGGCGAGAACTTCTTTCTCGCCGCAGAGCTTCGGGTCGTGAATGAATGCACCACCCTTGCTGTTGGGTGGGAGGTCGCCGGTGGTGGCATATTTGAGACACTCAATGATTGTCTGGGAGCTGTTAGTACGGGCCCTGTCGGTTGGGGGGAGATGGCTCACGTACTGTCTTTCCTGAGCCGTTATAGCCGACGATCAAGGTGAGGGGGGTGTGGAACTGGATGGTCTCGCTGCGGGTGTTGTCGAAGGAGCGGACTCTGAATGGGTTAGCTGGATAAATGGTGAAAAGGGAAATACTGACCCAAGAATGGAGAGCTTGTCGATCTTGGCTGGAAGAGAGATCGTTAGTGAGAAGCCACTGATTGGGCTATAGACGATCGATCTTTGTCACTTACACCTATTGGGTTGGTCAGAGAGAAAAGAAGGATAGAACTGACAGACAGAAGCGAACTTACATGATGATCACAGCCCTCAGGGAGACCTGGTGGTGAGGCTCTGGCCAAAGCGCGTCAGACAACGAAAAGACGCGGGGAAGAAGCGCGAGATCACGTGCCGATGGACCGGGCGCGCGCGGACCAATCAGGCGGCGGGCGTCCGGTTGGCGGACCCGATTGGCTGGATGCGGGCCGCGGCGGGCTGTGATTGGGGCGGAAAGTGGGACCCCGCCGGGGATGGGACCTTAAAGGATGCATGACAAAGAATTGACAGCTCTACTCGCACGACGCCGCAGGACCAGCCTGTGTCAGCGTCAGTGGCTCGTGGAACGGGGTCTGTTTCTCCTACTCTTATTCTTACTTTTCCACTTCCACGCCCCCCACCTCCTTCTCCTCCCCATCACCCTCATGAGATGAGTGTGTCCTTTCTTCGCTCTCTCACCAGCATCGGCGTTGGTTTTCCTATCACCAACGATGGATTTGGTCGCCCATCACCCCACGAGGGGCACCGCACTGGGCCAAACAGCCACTGCAACTGCAACACTGCAGGATGAGAGACATGATCTCGTCCAGCGATCCTATGCTCTCGACACGCGGCCCCCAGCGCCGTCGTCGACCTCGCTCATGAGCGACATATCTGCCATGTCCGTCCAGACCACCAACCTCATTGTCTCGTCGGCGTCGGCGGATGAGCCAGGGTGGCCGCAGCGAGTCATCGGGGAGATTCAAGACCTGCTGCTGCTCCTCACGCCAGATGGGAAGGTCCTCTATGTGTCGCCCTCCTGTGAGACCATCACTGGTTACACCCCATCCGAACTGGAGAATGAATACCTCCTTCGGTACGTGCACAACGACGACAAGTCGATCTTTTCCTCGGAGATGGAAGAGTGTGTTGCCACCGGTCGTCCCTTGCAATGTCATTTCCGCTTCGCCAAACCAGACAAGTCATGTCGTCTGTTGGAGGCGTACGGCCATCCCCATGTCGTCAGTGAGAAGCTTCGCCAAACCTGCAATGGCATTTTCCTCGTGTGTCGCCCCTATCCTACCAAGAGCTGTCAACTTCTCGACTCCTTCCTGGAGCACAAAATTGAAAACATCCGACTCCACCAGCGTATCGCACAGCTGAAAGAAGAGGAGGAAGAAGACTTGAATGGCATCCAACAGATTTCCGCCCAAGCCAGTGGTGCGGTGCGTCGGCCACCTCCACCCGTCGCCCAGGATACCTACTCTGGAGAAGAGAATGAATCGTCCGACTCCCTTACTCTGGATGAAAGCGATGCGCGAGCCCAAGCCGTCGAGGAACTTGCCACCGAAGACATGTCTCATATTGAAGGTATCGAGGTCATGACTGGTCTGTTCTACGGAGAGGGAGAACGGTCTCAGGGACTGAGTACCGGTCTGCGTCAAGGCCGTCTCATCCAATGCGGGATGGAAACGATTACACCTGACCAGCAGGCGCGAACCATCCAGGATAGCGACCGAAGAAAACGATTGAAGGGAGAGTATATGTGCACGGACTGCGGCACGAGCGACTCGCCGGAGTGGAGAAAAGGCCCCGACGGACCTAAAACCTTGTGCAATGCCTGCGGGTGTAAGTGGCCGTCTCCTCGCACCAATTCATCGATGTGGAAACTAACCGCCATCCCCATATGCAGTACGGTGGGCCAAAAAAGAAAAGAAACGCCAAGAATAACTACGGGCCTTGGACGGATGCACATCACGGTTTTGTTGGATTATTCTTGTTTCTGCGTTGCAAAAAATTCTTCCTGCGACGATACCCATGCGTTCAATCACTTCGTTACCATATATCAATGCCCTCCGTTCGTCCCAGCGGTAGGGAATCGACTAGTTTGAGGCTGCCGGGGAAATTGTTCTACTTTTTATGGTCTTAGCGTATTTTTTTTCTGTGCTTGGAGGAGGGTATGTCCTCTCTGGGAGTTTGTTCATTCAAAACTGTTGGTGTCTGACGGATCTGCTCGAGTCCCAACAAGACCAATTTTTAATGTAAAGATCTAGATGTCACGGGGGGTTGGATCTTAGGGGTCAGCAGGAACGTGGAGATAGCATTATATACGAGGCCGCTACTCCTGATACCAGCGTGTCGGTACGTGCTAATGATTTAGTTATTGGTCCAGTGCAAAATGGCAACACTGACCCGTGGTCTGCACTGTCTCATACTGCGGCAACTAATTCATAGAATAAGGTCAGACACATGTTGTATACCCATCCCAACAAGCAACGCTATGTTATGAGACATCCGTGTTGTGGCAACACTAGCATTCCTATAATGGAGACCTGCCTATGTACTCCGTAGTCGGTTCAATTAACGATCCATTGACGGCCACCAACGTCGCACAAGATGGTATTAATAAACAGGGAACAACAAAAGAAACCAAACACCCAGAATATATAACTCCGTAATCCGTGCTTGACCAGCACATGGGATTGGAGTGAGCTACAGTGAAATGTGGCCCCTCGGTACAACAAGCCCTAGTAACGGGGGCACTCATTTCTTAACTGCTTTCTTCGGAGGCGGAGGGAAGTACATCTGGGGCTGAGGCTGCTCAGCCGTAGTCGACGTCTCTGTGCTCAGTTGTTGCTGCGGCAGACGAGGCGGGTTTGGAGAGCTGAAATGTTCGCGAAGAGGGAGGTCCGTCGAGCCGTTCTCCAGCTGATTGAAGGCGACAGTTCGTGGAGTCATCGCGGGCATTCCGTGGGGAGTTTGCATCGCGTCCGGGGGCATCGCAGGGGTCATGGGGATCATGGTGGGGGATTTGAGAACCATGTCCTCGTACTCCTTCATGATACGTTTCTCCTCGCGGCGTTCCTCGCGCAGGGCGCGGTCCTCGTCCGTCGGGATGCAGTTGTAGATACTCAGGACGAACTCGACAAAATAGAGGACCCTATAGCCGTGTGAGCGAGAGAAAGACCATGGAAAGCCGCTGGGTTCAGGATAGGGCCACTCACAGTATGATGATCGTAAACGCAAAGAGGGCCTTCGCTTGTCTGCAGTAGCTTACATTGCTCGGGAATTTAGCGACGGAACAGCTCTTGGTGATGTACCATGGGGGCCCTGGTTGAGGGTGTTGCGGGTCCGACATGTCACTACCTGCCTGTCCGCGAGCAGACACAATATAGATAGCAACTAATCCCGCATGGACGATGACCGAAAGAATCGGGTACCAGATGCGGAGGACGTGGACAGGGGCTTTGACAATAAGGAAGAAGACGCTGACAACAGATATCACCAGGTTGAAGTTTGTAATGCTATGATTGTTAGCTATTACAGTCTCCGATGTGTCCAACATCAATCGCAGGAACAGAGAGGACCTACAATGAGCTCCAGACCATAGGGACATGGTAGGATCGGTAGTTGGCCGCTGCGTAAACGAGTTCGTCCGGCGCACTGTTGAAGCCGTTATCGGCTCCGTCCTGCCAAAGTTTGGTTCGGTATAGGTCGTGCGATGCGATTCCAGTGAAGGTCAAAATGACAATCGTCACCGGCAGCTCGATGGCCATCAAAATGTAAAAGAGGTTGTGATTCCTCCAGTTTCGTGAGATATGCATGATGAGGAGAGAACCTGCGTCGATACTCTAGATGTGTGCAAGTGATTCGTCGTTTCCACGGCTGCAATGCGACGTTGGTTGATTGACTGGTCGAGCGTCCGTCGTGCTGGTCGATTCACACAGGTAGGCGAATGGCCAGGCCGGCTGGCTGTGAGAGTCTGTCAATACGCACGCATCGGACAAACGAACGCCAACACCGAAATGAGGTAAAACCGATAAGCGGATGTCGCAGAGAGTACGCCAGGAAAAGCTTGGGACAGGATCAGCCGGGAGAGGGCGGCATAGATATGGCGCCCGCAGGAGCAAGCGTGCGGACCAGACGTCGTCTGGTTGCGGACGAACGAGGCGAGAGGGGCAGCACCATGGCGACCAAGAGCAAGGATTAGAGGAGAGGAGACAGCCAAAATGTTGCCCAGAGATGCGTCTGGCCAATGCTTGTCGTCCGGCAAGCGCCAGCGTCAGCCGGGGTCCGGGGCGTCATCGCCAATGAGGCGCCAGAGACCGCAGGACGGCTGTCGGTCGTCACACGCTAGACGGTGTGATAAACGGAGTCGATCTGCATGATCAAGAACACCACTTTGGCTTTGCACCGCAAGTGGCGGACGCCCAGAACTCGTCGGGTCAGTACAGGGGCGAAGCGCCCGTGTGGAGATTATTGTCGAGTGTGATGTCTGTCGGCGTGTTGTTGTGACTGCGCATACATATGGTAGCACGAATCCGACGATTGATGGACCCTGTTATGGTAGTCAGACTATTCGGGGTGACAGATAGTCGTACTTCTCGCATGAGTGCGAATGGGCGTCTCCATGAGATGGCATGATGGTTGAGTAGAGGAAGAAGAGAGAGCATTGAAGAGAAGAGAAACTCGTGATGCGGAGACAGACGTCATCCGGGGTTGCGACGGTCGCGCAACTTCAACTTCATCCTCACCACCCTCCGGACGCCTGATTTCAGAACAACATAACCGCCGGGACAGATAGAACTCCATCTTCTTGCACATCTCTCCCGACTTAGACCCATTGGGCCCGCCCAGCAGCCAACTCTATATGCGACCACCTGCGCTCCGACTGCTGCCGCGCCGCCCCATCCCCCGAGCACTCGCAACTTCGCTCCAGTCGCAGAGTCCCCAATTCCCGGGGATCCGACGCCAAATGAGCTCTCCCACTGGCAAGAAGACCTCCGTCCCGCATGTAGTGCGCACCGCAGCCGAGCCGCGACAGAACCGGCTATACAACGTCCGGCTGTCGTACATCGAGCAGGCCAATCCCACCGTGCGACTCCTCCACTTGACTCTGCCGCCCCAGGTTCAAAGCCTTGAAAGCCACGAAGACCCGGAGGTACGGTTCTATGTTTGTCTGTTTGTTGAGTAGAATCACGCCTTAGTTCAGCTGATAACCCTCGCAGTCCGACCAACCTGAACCATTCACCTTCCTCCCGGGTCAATGGCTGGATGTACACATCCCCTCCGTATCAGTCGCAGGCGGTTTCAGTATCACCTCCACGCCAGCAGACGCTGAAGCGCTCCCGTCGCTACAGCCAGCGCCGGAATCGCTGGCGGTCGATGACGAGGAGACTGGCCTGCCACCGCTGGATCCACGCGGAAGAACGCCGTACGTCGAGCTGGCCGTACAACACGCCCCATCGAATCCTGCTAGTGCCTGGCTCTGGCGCCCCAAGGAGGAGATCCTGGGGAAGGAGTTGAGTATCCGTGTCGGCGGTAGTCTGGTGTGGCCTCCATCCGGCGTCAACCTCGGGGAAATCCGCAATGTAGTCTTCATTGCCGGGGGGATGGGAATCAAGTAGGTCCTCCTGAGTCGTTCCCAAATCTGGTGACCTACCAGCGACGAAGGCTAAGTTTTACATCCAAGTCCCCTGATCTCCATGCTCTCGCATCTGAGCAACAGTCCCGATGACGGTCCGTCCTTGCATCGTCCCTGTAAAATCCATTTCTTGTATTCCTCTAAGCTGCCGGAGGGGACGTCGACGGAGACCGCCATGGATCAAATTCCTTTCCTTCCCCGTCTCCGCCAGATCATTCGTTCTCATTCTACATCTGAGCGGCTACAAATCTCTCTCGATCTGTTCCTCACTGGACTGCCTGCGGATTCTCCAGTGTTACGTGGGCCTCCTTCGGACATAACAGTTCATCCACGGAGAATGCACCACGATGATCTCCAGTTGGCTCTAGCTGGGCCAGGTGGCACATTCAAGCCGACACAAACGTTATGCTATATGTGCGGCCCGCCCAGGATGACAGATGAGTTCATCCCTTTCATCCAAGATTCACTTGGTCAGAAGGAGCATTTGTTCTTCGAGAAATGGTGGTGATATAAATCTCCACCTCTGCCTTATGCTATGCGATCGGTGAAGAGGCACAGTTACAAATTGTAGAATGAGATAAACTGTTATGGAAAATCTTTTCGTTGTTCTTCAAAATATCCTCCTGCGACAAATGCCACGACACACGCCAGGAAACAACCTATACAAATTGACATATAAAAAAGGTATAAGAGAGATATATGAATGACGAGGGCCGCGGAGATGAGATAGTTGCTTCACCGAGGTGACAAGGTATGAACAGCGGTAGGTAGATAGATCGCGAATTCGACCATCCGCTCAAAGGCCAATGCCGAAGGAAATGAGATCGCCAATGCGTTTGCGGAGAACGATCGAAATACGAAACTCCGATTCAAACCAGAGCTCAGCTGTTCTCTTGTGGTCCTTTCACAGCACCACCGTCAACGATCATCATTTCGTCGATTTTCGCTTCGGTCTCCCCAAATTCCAGTCGCTTGTATGTCACGACTCTTCCGGAGTTCATATCAAAGTCGAAAAACCGGATGCGTCGAATATAGCCGCCGTAGCCTCCGTAGCCACCAAAGCCTGCACCACCACCGTAGCACATCCACAGCGAAGGCTTCTCGTTTTGGTCTTTATTCAGCATGCAATAGTCATTGACGTGATCACTAAAAAAGACGTTAGTCAAGCCATTTTACTGCAAGCACATGCAGGGTAACTTACTGTCCCGCACTGACAAACAAAATCCCCTCCTCCTCGAGCGCATCTTTGAAACCCGAGTTAAATCCGGGAGCCGTCGGTGCTTCCGACCAGTTGCCGCGGTAATAATTCTGCGGATCACGATATTCGGGTAACGGTATATGAATGAATGCCATGTTCATGTGCATGTATGTATACTCATGGTGTTTCGTCTTGAGGCTCTGGGCGGTGGTCTTGAACCAGCGAATCTGGCTGGGCTTGATCCAGTCATAGCCACGGAACTGGCGCTCATCCGGAGAATACGAATGGGTGTCGAGGAGGTACAGCGTCAAGGCGGAGTTTCCAGTCGTTCCACGGCCGAGGACTTCCACAATGTAATTTCCAACTCCATCCACCTCTTCCGGACCAGCCGATGAGAGTGAATACGGAAGATCTTCGAGAATCTGCATCGACTGCTCCCGGCTGAGGTTCCCCTCGTCGTCATGGTTGCCAAAGATAGCTGCATACGGGATCTTGCGATCGACAAGCAGCTTGACTGACTTGAAGATCGCACTTTGCGCATCCCTGGAGGTTTCACCGTTGACCTGGTCACCAGTGAGGACAACCATGTCCGGCTGTTCCTCATCGAGGAGTCTCTCAACGAACTCCAAAGTGCGTGGATCGGCCTCGCACTTCTGGCCTGGGACAGGCTCGATAGGTACCGGGTCTCTGCACGCACCGAGGCCGGTACTCAAATGCAGATCGGCCAGCTGCATAATCTTGAAGCGGCCATTCTCATTAATTCTGGGGACCGGCTTCTTGTTCTTGGTGGGGTGGCCCCTTCGAACACTGATGCGAGCCTCCGTGTTTTCCGTCCGACTATCCAACAGCAACGGGGTATCCTTTACTTCCCAGCCAGCTCGCGGGTCGACAGCGTCGGCGCCGAAAAGAACGTCGATTGCGGTGATAGCCTTTTGCGAGTCACTGGCGTGGCGCTTCGCTGTGCGCTTCAACCAGATACCCCCTGGTCTTTCCTCCCATACGCCGCCATCTTTTTTCGACTCGTCAGTCGATTCTGGTACGAGACGGCTTATCTTCAGGTCGATCACGACCTTGTCTGATGATGATAATTCCTCTTCCTTTTTGTGCTCGAAGTGGATGAAAGCACTGGATGTCCATCCCGTGCGGAGATACAGGTCTTTCTCCACGACAGTCCAAGACTCCGAACGCGGCTTGCAGTTGGAAAAGGGGTTGATAGAGGAGCATGTGACGACTGTAACGTCCGTGATGGCGAAACCAGAGTAGTGGGAGGGAAGGTGACCGTGGATGGAAGCGGGTAGTACACGGAAGCGATTATCGAGAGTTACGACCAAGATGAGGATAAAGAACGCGACCAGAGCAAGCTGTACGCCCGCTCGAACCTGGTGGTAATTACGCGTTAGTGACGGACAATTGGAAATAGAATAGATGCGATATGACATTCAGGGAGGGTCATACAAGACGGCGTGTCATGACAACTGTGGTAGATCCCCTTGGTAAGTCGTAGATAGGAGTAAGGCCGGGTGCTCAAGCATGATGGGGACACCAAGCCACTTAAATGTAGATTGGAGGCTCACCACAGAGAAGACCTAGCAGCAGGTCATCTCAGGGGCCTATTCTTGAGAAGAGGAAATGTATCCGATGAAGGGAAATCAATGGAGAAGAATGCTCCCCCGTATTTTCGAGGGCCTGTCTTTCCCTCATGCGGAAGGCGGTCGATCCCTGGTCAATGGGGGCCGCTAACCAGTTTGAGGGCTGGGGCCGTCTGTCACGCTATACCTTATTGGGAAGTATTAATGGCATGTCTATCCTAGAATCACTAGATCTAAATCCATTATCATAGACAACATCTATCTTTAGGGCCCATTCTGAGCCACCTGCTTGGCCGTCACTTTTCCGCTCAGAATATCTTTCGTAGTAGCGAGGATGGACGACCAGTTCTCGAAGACGGTGAATGGCATTCCCTTACGTTCACAGAACGTGACCAGATCTGGAATACTGTTAGAGTCATATAATGGCAAGCAATGATCACGAACTCTCTCACCGTTTCCTTTCTTCGCAAATAGGAGATCCGTCTCGGCTGCAGCAGACAAGTCGGAGACACCATCTCCCGCATAGAGGAGAGTCGGACGCACACCGTCCGGCAGCGCCGCGTAAGGTTTAATCTCTAAGGACTTGTCATGGCCAAAATGGCTGTCATCGTGGTACTTGATCTGCCAACCGCCCTCGGTGTTGATGTCTTTGCCGCCCCGGCTCTCGACGTCGTTCGCGACAATGTGCAGGTGATCGTCCGGCGTGTTGCCCAGGAGGGACTCAAAGAGCGCTCTGATTATGGGGATCATGCCCGACGACAGGACCACAATCGGCACATTGTTCTCCTTGGACCAGTTGTAGAACTCGACAAAGTGGGGGTCCAGCCGCATGTTCTTGCGAAGTTGGTCGATGCACTCGTTGTAGGGGGTCTTCACGCTGTCCAACATGTCACGGAAAGCGTCACTGTGGTGGAGGAATAGGCGATCAGTCAAGACGTATCGAGCGGAGGGGAGGGAAGAGTGCTAGATACCGAAAGCTACTTTTGCCTTCCAGGACGTCGAGGTTCCCCTGGCGACGTTTTTCGCGGCCATATCCGAGGTTATCAGTCTTGTAGAAGCAAGAGTCAGTTTGATGTGTGAATGCGAAGGTGGAAAGGTTATACCAGAAAGTCATTGCTGTCTTGGAGGGTGATGGTGCCATCAAAATCGGTGAAGAAGATGATTTTGGGGTTGGTTTTCATGTACGGGAGGGTGGAAACGGTCATGGCGACGGTGGACAGCGAGAAAGACGACGTCTATCGAGGGCAATATGCGACTGGAGGGGTGAAGAGGTCAGCAAACTGCGACGCCCTGGACGCTTCTGCGGTCCTCATCCTGTTTGTTCACGCTGCCCCGCCGTGGGGGGGTGGACCGTTGAATGCGGCGGAGCGGAAGAAGCACTCGATTAGACATACTTGGGGAATGGGAAGGGGGCCGGATGTTGGCCTGGACAGAGTGAGTGAATGAGGAAGGGAGAAAAGAGTAAAAGGAGAACGGGAAGAAGAAGAAGATGCGCGGGAAAACATTCCTGGTCGAAGGAACAAACGGATGAATGCCCCGCGACGTCGCTAGGCTCGATCTGGAGCTAGACTAGTCAGGGCAAAATGAATGATTTTCCATCAATAGCGAGATTGATTATGTATTGCGAATCCAATGGTCGGTTGGAGATGTATACATTGTAGAACAACCATATATATTTAAAAGGACATAATAATCGGACATGTTCAATATAGAATGTTCCATTGAATATTGTATTATTATTGCCCTATTGTTGTACGCGACAAATTTTGATGGATCCGCAATGGATGATGTTTTTTTATCTCGATTCCATTTTTGATCTTCTCCATAACTTCAACCCCAGCCGACCAGCCACCCCGTCCCCCATCCGTCGCCTCAATTGAATGGCGCGTCTGCTGCAATCGTTGCGGCGAGTCCTGGGGCTCTCCTCGTCCTCCGCACCGTCTCCCCCGGTGTCCGTCTTCCCCAGATCGATCGATACCGACTTTTCCTTCTTCCGCGGTCAGTCCAGCCATTGACCACTCCCACAACAAGAGACGCTCTCTAATCTCAATTGCGTCCACAGAAGGCGATCGCGCCGTCATTCATGGGAAAACTCCGACTCTGACCAAACCGCTCCGTCATGGCCACAAGACCGACCTCCGACGCGGATCCCTCCCGCACGACAGCATCATCGGCCAACAAGTCCGCGATCGAGTCCAGGCAGTAAAGGGTGAGCCTGTCGCATAGCCTCAACTCCGGAGGAGGATTACTGGTGCTGACACAAACCGTCGTCGCAGGCCCCGAATGCCGACTCACGCTCCCCACCCTCGATGAATATGTCGCCCTGACACCGCGTCTGGTCACCCCGGTATGAACACCGTCCACACCAGCCCACCACCACCGCCCCGGACAAACCAGCTAAGCCCAAATTTCCCGGACAGATCTACGCCGCCGACGCCAACCTCATCGTCTCCCTCCTGGACATCCACGTCGCCCCGCCAGCAGCAGACGGCGACCCGAACAACCCCCCTCCGCTGGAAATCCTTGAATCCGGCACCGGCCACGGCTCCCTCACCCTCCACCTGGCGCGCGCAATCCAAGCCGCAAACCCGACTCCTCCGCCTCTCCCGACCCGCTCGCAGATCCAGTACCTCCAGAACCGGCCCATCCGGCCGGACGAAGCAGAAGACCCCATCTCCAGCGGCACAAAACAAGATCCCCCGTCTGCGCAGCACCACCCCACGGCTCCAGACACCAGAGACTCCGTACAGCAGACCTGGGACGCCTGGCGCGCCCAGCGCCGAGCCGTCATCCACACCGTCGACGTATCGCCCAAGTTCTCCGCACACGCGGAGAAGATCGTGCGCGGGTTCCGCCGCGGCCTCTACGCCGGGAACGTGGATTTCTACGTCGGCCACGTCGAGAACTGGATCGCGCAGCAGACGGCCGCCCGAAAGCCCTCCCCTTCCACCTCCCTTCTCTCTCTGAAACCAAAGGCCGACGCTGTCGCCCCGTTCCTCTCCTATGCCATCCTGGATATGCCTTCGGCGCATCTGCGCATCCCGCACGTCGCCCCCATCCTCAAACGCGACGGCGTCCTGGCCGTGTTCATGCCGAGCATCACGCAGATCGGCGACTGCGTCGACCTCATCCGTCGGCAGGCTCTGCCGTTCACCCTAGAAAAGGTCGTCGAGCTTGGCGCTGGCATCAGCAGCGGGCGGCTGTGGGATGTGCGGTTCGCCGTGAAGAAATCCCGCGCGGATCCGTCGTCGTGGTCAGAGACGTCGGACAGCGAGCAGAGTGCCGCTGACAGCGACACGGGTGAAGTCGCCCCGGCCCCCGAGGAGGCTCCCAAGGGAGACGATAGTGTTTTGGTCTGTCGCCCGAAAGTCGGCTCCCGTATTGTGGGCGGCGGGTTTGTCGGGATTTGGAGACGCATTGAGGATTCTCCGAGGCGCTGAGTGCTCTTGCTTGGATACCCTTGTAATATAGCCTGTACGATAAATTAGACTTCGATAATGTGTGAATATTGCATGCATGGCTTCACAATCAGAGAGTACATCTATTGCAGCCTGGTTTCAATCGAAGAAGAATAAAACATACACCTCGTTACTACCTATCTGCCCAGGCGATCGAACCACCCAAACATACAAAAGAATAGCTCTAGATAGAGTTCGCAGTATCAAAACGCAGAGCAAAGTCCTAGCATACCAAACCAGAACTGCGAGGAGCGAACAGAGCATCAAAGCACAGGAAACAGCCACGCCGTTGAAACTAGGTACTTTCCAAGATAACAGCAAGGGACACAATCGGACGAAAGCCCTTGCACAGCAACGTCAACAGCAAAAAAATAGACTCACACAAGAATGTTATAAAAAAAAAAAGATAGGCATGGAAGCAAGCGGGACATCAAACGCAGGACAATGAAGAACACCACAGACACGCAGTAAAGGCCCCCAAAGATTCCGAGATAACAAGACAAACCGGCTACACAAACACCAGTCTCATAAGATTTCGACATGCTCCGTTTCCCTTCAGCTCCGTTGCGGTCCAAAATCCGCCTCCACAACCTTACCCTTTTTCCCTTTAACTGAAAACTCCGCAAATAATGCGATATGATCACTAGGAAAATGAAAATTCGGGAACCCGGGTACCTTCTGCAGATAATCCTTGTCCACCTCGCCCAGTAACGCCGAAACGTGAAGTGTATTTGATGTGTACCAGATGTAATCCAGGATGTCCTTGAAGTCGGGCGTGTAATTCGTAAAGCTCAGCTCGCCGATAGACCCGTATGCCGACTTGAGCTTGAAGGGATGGGTCATGCCGACCCGACTCAGGTTGCCGTACAGCCGTTTCTCCAAATCCGGATGCTCTTCGGTAAGCCGTCCGTTCGCGATGAGGTTGTAGGCGGCAGAGCCAGGGGACGAGTTGAAATCTCCGCACATGAAGAGCGGGATCTGGTCCCCACTGGCGTACTCCATCGATGGCGCGGGCTCCGGCTGGTTCTCTGATTCACCACCACCTTCGGCTTCCGAGAAACGGAACGCAGTCTTGTCGGTACATGGCGGCCACTTGGCGTATCCGTCGGACAGCTTCGTGATCTCTTCCATGAGAATGGCGGTCTGAATCAGCTTGACGTCTTTGAATGCGGGATCCCAGTACAGATGAGCATTCACGACGATGAACCGCGAACCCGTCAACCGGTTTTCCAAGAACACGACGACGGCGATGTGATCCTTCTGCCAAAGTCGGTTGTAGATGTCATCCTGGCCCTTGGCATCCGGTCTCCGGACCGCGGTCTGACCGAAGTTGATCATCTGCTTGTCCAGCAGAATGAATTTGCTTCCCTTGAAGAACGTCGCGCAACCGTCAACGTTCTTAGCTTCCTCCTCCTGCATACCCATGGCCCTTCCGCGAGGCCAGTACACTCCCTTATAGTCGTTGTACGCCAATTGCTCCCGGAAGAATCCGTTGTAGCTACCTTGGTCGACTTCTTGCAGGCAAACGATGTCCGAGTCGTGGGACCGTAGTTCGCTGAGAATGAGTTCTCGCCGGAACTCCCAGGACAGGGCACGAGACGGGGTATAACCAAAGTGGGAGGAGGTTGCTGACGAATCACACAGGGCGTTATGGGAGAGGACAGTCACTTTCTCGGTGGAGCTTGAGGTGTCATCGAGGATCACCCAATCTCTATCCGGAGGGGGGAGGTGAACTAAACCTGGCGTTAGCGTCTCTTGGTCATCTCAAGAACCGAGGTCAACGAACCTGGCATTTCTTCTCGGAGATATCTGATGAGAGCCTTGGTCCCTTCCTTCATAATCTGGCTTTTGAGGATATCGTTCAAAGGATTACCCTCAATACCTAATGTATCCAAACGGTAAAGGTAACCCATCTCGTAAGGAAGCGTGCGGATATTGTTGTCGAACAGGTACAGCTTCTTCAGGCTCGTAAGCATGCCAATTTCTTCCGGGAGTTCTGTGAGGTCATTGCCCGACAGATCCAAGTGCTCCAGTTTCCGCAGCTGTCCAATTGTCTGGGGGAGCGCCTTCAGCTTGTTATGATTCAAATAGAGCTTCTCCAGGAACACGTAGTTGAACAACGACGTTGAGAGTGCACGGAGTCCCTGGCCGCCGAAATCAAGGGCATGCCAACCCTGCCGCGGCTTCGACTTCGTCTTCACGGTCCCGTTCCGGTTATCGGTACCATTTTCTTGTCCGTCAGGCTGGCTGGGAGCAATCTGGATGCCTTTGGTCTGCTGGGCCACAGCGCGAGCGTAGTAGTGAGGCGAGCTTGCCTGCCGCGACTCTGCCGCCAGCTGCAGCTGCTGTTGCCAATGTTCATTCATAGACTCGTCAATATCTTCGTCAACGTTAGCGTGAGCCCCATTTTGCATGTGGCTCGGGGTGAAGTGTGGGGTTGCAGCGGCCAATGCCCCGCTCGAGAAGTTGTGCTGATGAGTGATGTTGTGGGTAGCTTGGTTGTGGTGCGCGTGATGGTGGGGTTGCTGAGCCGGGTGATGGTGACCCTGAGATTGAAACTTGGGGATCTGCATGCCAAAACGTTGATGGGCCTGGCCGCCGTTCATCAGGACATGTTGGCCTTGGTGGGTCTGGCTGTACATGGTGAAAGGGTTCAGGGCGGCGGTCGCTTGGTTGAGAGGGGGAGATCGAGAAGGGGAAGGGGTGTCGTGGCTGTATTTTAGTCTGCCCGTCGGGGAATTGGTGCCGTTGCGGACAAGGTGTCGTTGCTGCTGTGTTGGAAAGAAGAACTGCCCGGCCCCAGGCTGCTGGAACCTGTAGGTACCATCTGCCATTTAACGTGGCAGATGAGACCGAGGGGGGAGAGTTTGAGGGGGGTTCTCGGCGATGGCGAGAATCGGCCACACAGGATCCAGGGTAGGAGTAGCTGTGGTCGTGATGGTGGAGGTGGTGAAGGTAGGCGAGAGGAGAGTCGGGGATCGGATGCGTTCTCGCCGTCTCTTCAGCATGGGGTCCTGGAGCGGAACCACACCGAGTGTCAGGCTAGTCCGAACTCACGACCGTAGCAGGCCCGATTAGGGTGCACCAAATTCGGCTCCAGTCGCAGCTCCAGACGCAAATCGACGGATTAGCAGGGTCGATAGCCGGGCGATAGGGACGGAGATTGTGAGGAACGAGTCACCGAACCGACAGACAGCGGTCTGGCGAGGAGCCTGCAGATGCCGTGGACGGGTCGAGTAGTCCCCCAAGATAGACAGGTCGGAGGGGATTGAGTGAAGCGCACGGGGGAATGTGGTGGAGAGAAGGATCGAGGGAGCGGGCAGGATGTTGGGAGAGAGTGCCTTGTTCGTCTTCCTGACGCAGTGAAGATGGTTTGCATCGAAGGCGGGAGTTGCGCGGGTCACGTGAGGTGGCATCGGCGGGCATGATTCGCCGCCCGACGGGGGAGCCAAGACTGCTGGATTCGGCACCTCTACTCTGAGTATATCCTGACTATCTTTCGACCTCATGCATCTCCGTCCTGGGACTCGTTATGACGATGTGTGGTACAAAGTCATCTTAATCTAATTGATCCTTTTGCAATATAGGACCATACTCCTGTGTCCTCCGGTCGGGACCCATCTCTGGGTCATACCTTGACATCACAGGCTTGCTACATAAGGAGGCCTACCAGGTGGACTTCCCATACTCCTCACACAATCTCTTCATGGAGTGCCTAGTCCACAAAAATCTCTCAGAAACTCCTGTTTTCTGCTGCATTCCTGGGTCCTCCCTCTTGTCCAGTTAGCTGGGTTATAGACTCCCTAAAAAACGGCACCAGCGATCATCCGCCCTGGATGTTGTACAACATGCCTGGGAAGAAGCTGCATAGTGTCTGTCCTGTGGCTCAACAGCAGCATGCCAAGTTTATTATGAAACATGTCTCGAGGCTGACCTTTCACAGGACAGATGTCTTGGGAGTCACGCAAGGAGAGGACCTCGTTGACTGTCAAAGCAATGCAGGCACCGAGACTAGGTAGGTACCTACGTGTGACTACAGTACCTGGCACCCACTTCCTTGTCCAATGAGTTTCCATTTACCTATTATCCCATGATCCGAGCCCAAGTGAAGGGGGTATATATATAGTAAATGTGTTCCGAGACCGGACAAGATCACGTAAAGGAAATAAGAGAAATGGGGAGGCGACAGAGGAGAAAGACCAGTCCAGTTCTCCGTATCGACCGAGTACCATTGCATACACACGACGAAATGTATGGTAGCCTACCTCGGTACCTACTAGTAGTAAGGTAGTAGGTTGGACGGTTAGAGCGCAAGGTGTCCAGTGACCCTTCGCAACTTAATATATACCTTTAAGTACTCGAACACTCCAATCATCGAGTCCAGTGGAGGATTTCCAGATGGTCGGGGAGAAAGTGATGTGCACCCATATTGGACTAAACAGTCCCCTGCATTTCTTGGCCTACCGACTATTAATTCTCGGGAGAGCTGGCTACTAACTAGGTATATTCTCATGATTATTGTTCTTGTCATACCTACGGGAGTGCCTCTCCTCAGGCCAGCCCGTGACCCGTGCCGGCATGTACGGAGTACCGGGGACCGCTACCCGAGATGACGATGCTTTGCACCTAAGTACGTGCGTCCCAAGGTTTGCCTCCTCAAGGACATCATCCCACCGGGTCATGATGTCAAGACCCGCCAGTCCATCATGAAGCTTCTACAGCTCGACAACAGTAGGTATTGAACGGTAATTTTGCCTTCTTGATTGCCACCTTGCCGCCCGACTAACCTGATCGGAGAGTAGTGTGGCCCAGCCACGACGGGGACTATGGAAGTGTGTATTGTACCTACGTTAGCCTCCCCTGAATAAAAACGTTGGTTGGTGAGCGGCATTCATCGTGCGCGGATGGAGTCTGCGTCCCCACTCGCTGACCAGCGCCGTTTCATTGTCATTTGTCCGTAATTTCGAGGTGATTGTTCTCCCGGTCATTCTCCCGTCGGACAATAATGCTAGTATTCTTTAAGCGTATTGTTTCCCTGAAGCTAGGTATGGGCATGGGGTCGACCGCGAATATGCGTAGGAGGCTAACTCAATCAATGTCTAGTACCTCACCACTCAGCAGACAGACGGGTCCGTGATGGATTAGGGAGGCTTGAAACATCAGCATCATTACAAGGAACTCCCTAGTCGTCAAACGCACAGAGAGAGAGTCCAGTCCTTTCCATCCATGGATCGAGAGGCGTGAAATGATACCTGTCATACCGACAGAAGTACAACCCTCGCGGAGGCGAACACCACAGCCGCAGAGACAACGGCTGAAGAGGTCTGTCCTCCGGATCAATTCCGCCACTGGCGCCTGAACTGGACCATCAGACGAGGAGAATGGGCGACACACCAAAGCAAAACCCAGTGGGGAGGTAAGTTCCCTAAATCACGACTAGTTGGTTTAGTAGTAACCGACTCGACGGATGGAGTCCACCCGGGGGGCTCGAATCGTTCCGGATGAAGTGGAGTAGCAGAAATACCTAACTAACTACTCGGAAGTGAGTACTACTAACACAGTTAGTAGTCACCTAGTCCCTAGGGGGGAAGAAAAGAAAGTCCTTCTGGGTTCTCTCTATCGATTTTGCCCCCTCTTCCTCTCTCTCTCTCTCTCTCTCTCTCTTTCTCTCTTCTTCCTCTCTCCCTCTCTCTAGGTACTCCTCTTCTACTGTCCCATGGGTCAATCTGGATCCTCAATTCCGGTTTCGTCCTGATAACTAGAAAAAAAGACTTTTTCCTTCTTGGTCTCTTTCTTTGAAACACCCGTGCATATATACTTTGACTCTTCCCCCACTCGTCTTCTCTTCCGCCGTCAACTTTTTTTGCTCCCCTGTCGTGCCCCTCGACTTCCACTATATCATCGGTCTTCCGGACCTCGACTCGCCTGATTGTTATTGTCCACGGGCTGGATTTCCGCCATGATATAATGCTCTGCTGAAATTTTCCGGATTTTTTTGGTCCACTGTGTTCTGGTCCCGCGCATGTCATATATCCCGAGGATGCATGCAAACCCTTCCCCGCGGAACGATCGATCCATGAGAACCACCACTGTTTAAACCAACCCAAAGGATATGGACATGATGTCGCCGGGTCCAGCATCCTTCGCTCCCGCCGCAGCTTCGGGCTCCGACCTGCACTCCACCATCAGTTCCACCGGCCCGATTTGGGCTGGCACGTCCACCTCCTCTCTGACCTCCCTCCATGACTACTCCAACTTCCCTCTGATCCGTCAGGGCGATCGCACCTACCTCCGAGACCCCGAGAACCTCTATCCGCTCCCATGCGACCTTCCCGAGATCCACCGCCAGACGCTGCGCTCGCTCATGCTGCTGCGCGTGTTCGGCGGTCCTTTCTGCAACCCATATCTAACCGAGCAGCCGCCGACGCGCGTGCTGGAGATCGCCTGCGGGTCGGGCTTGTGGTCCGGGCTCTGCCACGAGCACTTTGCGCGCCAGGGCCACCGGAACGTGGCCTTTTACGGCATCGACCTGGTGTCCCTAGCGCCCGATATGCGCAAACAGGGTGTCAATTGGCATTTCAAGCGCCATGACCTGCGGAAGCCCAAGCTTCCCTTCCCGGACGACTTTTTCGACTTCGTTTTCATCAAGGACGCCGGCATGTGTCCGTCCAGTCCTACCATCCAGGTTTCTGGCTTGAGTGAACCGCTGCGCGTGCTCAGGTCCGGCGGCGTCCTCGAGCTGTGGGATTCCGACTGGGTGTTTCGCTCTCTTCTGCCCAATCCGGCACCGGCGCGCAAGCTGGCTTCGCGCGAGCAGGACACCGCCGACGCGACCGCCACGTATACCTTCTCGGCGGCAACGCCCTTCACAAACGTCCAGAACAAGTTCCTGCGGGACTATAACTCCTGGGTTGAGAAGGCTTTCGATCGCCGGAAGCTCACGGCCATCCCCTGCGCCACGATCGGACTCTCCTTCAATTCCGAGGTGGATGTTCTGGAGAACGTGGACAGTCGTCGCATCGCGATCCCGCTCGGCGAGATGCGCTGGGAACGCGACGGACAGGGCAAGGACTCGAGTGGCAATGCGCGCAAGCAACTGACGCCGGAACAGCTGTCCATCCGGCGCACGGCGCTTCTCACTGTCATTCAGATGATCGAGGGCATGGAACCGATCCTCATGGAGGCCAGCGGGAAGAGTCGGGATGAATGGAACCGGTGGTGGACTGCCATGATGGCCGATGTATTCAAGGTCGGCCTCGCCAACGGAGAGTGTCTAGAAGTCAGTGCCTGGTGGGGGCGGAAGAGATGACCGTCGGAATCTTCCGAAAGATATGATAGAAGGATGTGGTGTTTCGATGAACGCAACAGAAAAGCAACAGCAGCAAGGCAGAAGAGACCATTGCTCGGTTTATATTGGTGATACCCCTCGATTTGGACTGTTATTCATTTATCCCTTTCTTGTGTATATTTGCTGGACATATTGATACGGCCTGATATGATGCACGGCATCGAGCTTAATTGTTTTCATAGCGCTGTTTCAGCGTACGATATCGCTTTAAATAGTACCTGATTTGTCAGACTGGTTCATTGACGATGTAGGAAGTAGGTGAGAGGAACTTACAATGCTTCGATCTCTGTCAGGCGGATAATCATTAGCCTGCTCTCTTCCGTTCCAGCGACCCTCGGGGAACAGGACATACCCTTTTTCACGAACTCGGCCCTGGCAATGCCCTTCCGGATCTGCTCATCATCGTTCAGATGCGCCTGACTGGCGAACGCTTTGTGGAGACGGTTCCTGAAATATTCATAGCCTTGCGGGTAGTTGCGCCCGAGATTGAGCAATTCTACCGGAGTCAGCATCTGTCGCGCGGCAACGAAATCAGGGAAGGAGAACGTGCCCTTGTAGATGTTGATGACCTGCCGACGCAGCTCGGGGTTGGTCATTGTGGCTCCATTCACTGGTTGCTGTGGTGGGGAGGTTTGGTGTGCTGTAGTGGAAGAATGGCGGTGGTGGTCGCTCGATGGAAGTGCGGCTTTCAGCGGATGTCGGTGACGTTATTGTTGCGCGGGACAAACAAGCAGCTCGGAGGTGTTGAGTACAGAGGATTTGAGGCACAGTGTTAAGCTAGGGGCTCTACTGCTGATATTACCTGTTAGTAATTGTTTGTCTTTGCTCTGGTGGTAAGTTGACGAAGCTGCCTCGACGCGATATATATATATATATATACACCTGGCCAAGAGTGTAGATGTGTCCATGGGCCATTAGACTGACTAGGTACCTTGCCTTATGGGAGATGGGAGATCAGTATTCATCGACCGTACGCCGAGAGTCGAATAAGACCACGAGATTCTGCATGAACCGATTAACCTCTGATCATTGATGAGGTGAAGCTCGAGTCAAGTGTTCTGTAGGTAGTTACTGTGCCTATCCGCCTGCAGCGGGTGGGGTTAGCCGAAGTCCCGCCCGCATTTGGCCGGAGTTGATAAAGCTCCGGGGATACGCATGTACTGCCATAACTCCCTATCCTAACTACACCCACCACGATCAACAATGAAATCCCTCCACGCCCTCCAACGACCACGCCTGGTCGCGCTGCCACTTAGCTCCTCGTGCCGAAATGCGTGTCCCTTTTCACCCTCCATCGCCCACCGGAGCGCTCATACCTCGGCTACAAAACCGACACCGCGGAAGCCTCACGAGATCGACCCGCGATGGCTGTCGACGACAAAACAACGCATTGGGCGATGCATGATGTTCGGGCTGAAGCCACCGCAGGTGCGCGAGGCGGGGGCGATACTGCAGCAGCTTGCGAGGGACTGGCGCGAGCTCATCGCCGGTAGCGAGGGGTACCTGACGGATACGACGAGACGGGGGCTGTTCCGACAGAATGTGGCGTGGGGAGAGATGGTATGATTGTCAGTCTGTTGTTGATGGGGGACGGTGATGCTAATGTAGGGTTCGTCGCATGGGTGATAGGACTCAATGGTGAGATTGACGTGATTTCCTCCTGGACTGTTTGACTGACTTGTTGATCAGGGTACGACCGTTCGCACGCCCCAATGGATCTGCACATAAGCCATTTTATTGAAATATCTCTAACTGTTTATAATTGTCAGGCCACGTCAACAACGTCACCTACGCCCGATATGCCGAGACCGCCCGGGTATACTTCATGCGCAACTATGCGACGCACATCGACCCGGCGCACAAGCAGGAGTGGATGAATCTTGTAAGCAACAAGGGCGTCGGGGTCATCATGCGCAGTCTGAAGCTAGACTATAAATTTGTACGGCCTGACTAGAGATCCCCAGGCACGACGGCTAGTTGCTAACGGCGTTATCACAGCCCATGACCTATCCAGACAAGGTCACCGTCTACCATAAACTGGCACATTCGCCGTCGGGCCCGCATGCTTCGCAGTACTCGCTGTACCTCCAGGCGATGGTGATTTCCGAGGCGCACCAGCGGCCGGCCGCGCGCATCCACGAGGATCTGGTCACGTACGACTACCGGCTGGGGAAGAAGACGGCGCTGCCGCCGTTTCTCATGGCGCAGTGCAAGGCGACGTGGGAGCTGCAGGAGCAGGCGAAGAAGTTGTGGCTGGAACGGATTCTCGAAATTGAAGCGAGGGTGCGGACGCTGGAGGTCGAGAGCTGGGACCGGGAGGATGCGGTGGAGGATACCGGAGGCCGGTAAGGCTTACGGGGACATTTATTTTCGTTCATTATAGATATTACTTGCATATGGCTGGTTCTTTATGAGTCCTATGAGCGCTTGACCATGTATGGGCTATGGACGGAGTATACTCGGACTGAGCTCGCTACCTGTGATACGCCTCGGTAAGAGAGCTGTACAATACTAGGTCTAGTACCGTGGCGCGGTCTTCTGTCCGAGCCAAGAAAAGCTTGCTCATCAAGTGGTCCCGTACCTCGGTCGTCTACAAGTAACGTATGGCAGGGGATAGGAATTCACAGTAGGTCCTTATTGCGCGGTATAGTGTATACAAGGGTCCAATCAGGCACCAACAGATTCACA